AGTTATCTATATCTGATCGTTTCAGCGTGAGATGTTAAATCTATTCTGTGAATACTGATTTACTTAAGTGTCCATAATCTAAAACTGCTTGAATATCGAATGAGTCTACATCACTACCGAATCACAAATTTCGATAATCTACTTCATTTCAACAGTCGTTATGATAAAATCTACACATTTCATGATGTCTAAATGTTCTTGAAATTCATGTTATAAATGTTTGATTCCCCTCACTCATGGTGTAAAAACAACGAAATCGTAAGTGTAAATATTACCGGTAGTATAAAATGTAAATATCAGATGTTTTGTGGATATTAAAGCAATTTTAATAGTTATGATCATGAGTCATTTGAAACTAGATCACCATGGAAAACCTGGAAGGACTTGACAGCCGTTTCGTCTATTGTGGGACTCTTTAGCAGTGCGCATCCACGATCCCACCTCGTGAGATTTGAACCCTGGGAATCTAATGAGAAGCAATGACCAGTGGAGTTCGACCGGGTCTGTTGTGAGACAGTAACACACTGAAGACGATAGTGAATGTGTCGCTCAACTTCGTGGATTTGTTAAAGTTAAACATCAACACTGTTGGATGCCAGCTCAGTGGTCTAGTGGTTAAGCGCTCGCTCTCGAGACTGATAGATCCTGGCTTCGAATCTCACGGGGGCAGGATCGCAGATGTGCACTGCTGAGGAGTCCCACAGCAGGACGAAACGGCCATCCAGTGCTTCCAGGTTTTCCATAGTGGTCTAGCTTTAGCTGACTCATGATCTCAACCATTGAAAAAAATAGGGTCAAATGTAGTTGTCTGGGAAAAAACGGTCCAGGTTGTATGAATGTTCAGGCTTCCTTTTTGTTCTTCTAGATCTACTTCTAGTTCTAAATCTGTATTAGTCAGAACAGATCTGACACTTAGCATTATATTCGTTATCTGTAATATTCAGTGTCGCAGCAGCCTCAGCAACAGTAGGTCTCAACATTCACAAAGGGAAAAGCAAGATTCTCCGATACAACACAGCATGCACCACTCCAGTCACAATTGACGGAGAAGATTTGGAAGATGTAAAAATCTTTACATATCTGGGCAGCATCATTGATGAACACAGTGGATCTGATGCAGATGTGAAGGCGTGGATCGGCAAAGCAAGAGCAGCATATTTACAACTGAAGAACTTCTGGAACTCAAAGCAACTGCCAACCAACACCAAGGTCAGGATTTTCAATACAAATATCAAGACAGTTCTACTGTATGGGGCGGAAACCTGGAAAACTACGAAAGTCATCATCCAGAAGACACAGGTGTTTATTGACACTTGTCTACGCAAAATACCTCGGATCCGTTGGCCGGACACTATTAGCAACAACGTACTGTGGGGAAGAACAAACCAGATCTCAGCGGAGGAAGAAATAAGGAAGAAGCGCTGGAAGTGGATAGGACACACATTGAGGAAAGCACCCAACTGCGTCACAAGACAAGCTCTCACATGGAATCCTGAAGGCCAAAGGAAAGAGGAAGACCAAAGAACACATTACGCCGGGAAATGGAGATAGACATGAGAAAAATGAACAAGAATTGGATGGAACTAGAAAAGAAGGCCCAGGACAGAGTGGATTGGAGAATGCTGGTCGGCGGCGTACGCTGCATTAGGAGTAACAGGCGTAAGTAAGTAAGTAAGTTTTATTCATCATCTAGAGAGAACATGATGTCAATTGCATAGATAGAAGTGAAGAATTAACTCTATTTACTAAATGACTAACATTTATCTCATTTAAAAGAATGATATTTTTTCCAATTAACTGAAGTTAATTAACTTTCTTTTAAAAATCCATAAGACGCCATCATTATGAGTAGTCGCTATAGTAATTGATATCTAATGTATACATGTGTGGCCTTAGATATGTGGTATTTAATCTACCTATTTGGATCTCATGAATAATTTGTATTATGGATATCCATTAATGAGTTTATTACAAAATAGTTGATCGTTACCTCAGTTTGCTTGTTGAAAAAGTTTGTTTTCACTAAAAAAGCAAGGGGTATTCATCCGTTTCTATTATTTTTCAAAGAACCACAACTAACAAACTAATAATAGAATGTCTTGACCAAGACAACTTGAACCGAACAATAATTATGAGTAAGGTTTTACTATAATATCACTATGAATTAATTCAAAACAATATTTCTCTGGACTACATAACTTGAATCTCAGAATTCTTATCGGTGTGAACTAATGAAATTTGCTTTAAATCGCCAACAACCACACTTGTGGCAAGTAGTTTGTTGTAATCAACTAAGTGTAAAATAGTCATTAAATGTTCACTAGTATATATTTCATATTTAACGTAAATTAACATGGAGTCACTGCTGTCAAACCAAACGGATTCATATAGACAATACATCAAGTTTATTTTCTTATCGCTTAATATGTCGCTTTATCTCTGATTATCAACTGTTATATCCGAGCGAAGATTAAATCACGAGTAACTTCTGAGATATATTAATTGACTAATATTATCTATATATTCTTATGGTATAACTATTCAATAATTAGATTATGTATATTTATATTCCTCTTATTATAAGCTTTATTTTGACCTATAATTTATTATTGTACGATTTACGGTTCTTAAGCTATGTTCAGTTTATTAACTACTGCCCCCTCATTCACAGTCACTTTTTGGCTTTATTGTGTACAAATGTTATTTCCTATTTTATAGTGCATTGAGGTCTGTTTGATTGATATATAAACCCAGTATGTCTGAAATAAGTGATTCGATTCGCATAATGGAAGCTGGTATTGGCGTTCTAGACTCAAGTGCTCGGGTTAGGCGGAAATAGGACCAATAAGGACGCTAGGCTGCTCATACCGGTCGAACGTCATTGGTTTGGCACAGTGCTAAGATTGTACAAGTCGTATTTTGATTGGTGGATAAATCACGTGATAAAAGCCGGACATAAATTCACAACAGAAACGACTCCATAAATTCAAGCCTAATAAATTTCAGAAAAGAACCGAATTCCCAGTCTATAAACTGACCATGAGAACATATAATTAAGTATTGAAGGTGTTCTTTGTGCACAAGATGTTTAACTAAAGAGTCATTTATGGTTGGGGAAACGAATATTCTTCTCTAAGTGTTCCATAATTTTGTTCAGATTAGGATTACTGAAATACAGTAAGCAATTTTCATGCCGTAGCTCTTCTAGGGTCATTGCCGGTCTCAAGCCTGGGTAAAGGTGGGGAGTTGGGTATGGGGTCAGCAGCCCCAACTCCTAGAAAACAACCTTGCTAAAAGAACGCTAACCAAAACGAACAAATCATACCACTGCAGTAAAGTAGTAAGCTAAGTTAACCATATTACTCCTTGAAATATTAGAATCAACAGTGTGAAAGTACTATCATTATATCCATTCGGTCTATATTATGAAAATAATTTTCTTATATATGAATGGTACGCTTACATTTAAAGTACACGCAAATAATTCGAACCAAAAGAAAGTATACCATAAAGGTTGACAAGGGAAACTCAAAATTCCAATTAGTATCGTTTCTTCCGCTTATCAGAAGTAGTTCTTCGTTTACAGAATACTAGAGGATGTCATGGATACTAGAATTACATTAAGAAATTATTTCGCTTCTCTGTAAGATATTTAACAAGTAGAGTTACCTGGAAACTAAGTAGATTTCGTGAAATTTCGTTATATTAGTTGATCTAATGTATAACACTACAAAATAGGATGACTTCATGTTTGTTTATCCAAGATTTTTGAACAACAATACTTTGCAAGTAACTTTGTCCTAGGAAGCATATTAATTTGTAGTCATCCCATGTGAATTAGATGAAACAATGACTGGTGGTAATATTTGCAAGGATGGATAATTCCAATGTTATCAAACACTTGATATGTCAAAATCTGCTTATACAAATATATCTTTTATTTATCTTCACTTATGTCTACAAAATGAGATGGAAAATGTTTCAAAATAATGAACTTCATTTGGGAGAATATAATAAAAGAATCAAATATCATATGCGTGTTGCAGTCAGTGAATGACATTTCCCTTCATTATAATACTTTTACTGTTAATGCTGAATCGTGTATTCATCGGCTTTCATTGATTGTGACCACAAAAACATAGTATTAATGTTACTCTATAATGGGATACTAATCGAAACGATATACTTTCATTAGTCTATCCATATATGCGTAGATGATTTCTACGTGACCATGATTCTTTTAAGATGGAAAAGACGAATATTTTCAAAGCTCATTTAGCTGTAACCAACGTGGGGCCTGGCGTGAATCTATATTGGCACATGTAATACATTACAAGACAGCACAAGGGAAATTAACAAAGAATGGAAGTAAATGGGAGGGATTAAATTTAACGTTGGAAACATCAACAAAAAATAATATACTCATTAGTGAAAAACTTCGGGGGAAAGTTTAAGTTTTAATGAGAAATCGTTATCATTGGCGTTGGATCGTATTAGGTGTAAAGTAGATAATGGAAGATAGGTGAGCGAAATTATGAATCGATTGAAGACATTGGATGTCGACCCATGTCTTAACGTTAAGCGTTCGTTGTGAGCTCTGAAGATCTTTGGTTTGGTTACCTAAGAGGTCATCAAATGGATATGACTGAGCTCTATATTAGTATGAAACAGCTGCCCAATGTTTCCTTCTTTTTAGTGGTAGCTTAACTAAGATCAATTCATGAAGTAAACTATCAAAGGAAAACAGTTCGAAATAAACAAATGAGATCAAAAGACAAGTTAAGAATAACACTTAACTGAAGATTTATGCTAACATAAGGAATAAATACAATCGGGCTACTTTAAATGACTTTGTGCAATGTTACTTTAAGTTTCTAACCGTTGATAGTGAGTACTATGATCACCCAAAGTAGGAACTTCGCACATCGAAATGGATTAGGCCAGTAGTTAACGATTTTATAAACATATACCATATTGTAATCATAAAACAATGGGACAATAGTTTATAAATACAATCACTTTATTCATTTTCATAATAAAAATCTTTACCAAAAAAGGAAGAAACGAATGAGTATATGGATATTAATCACATTAAAAATCATTTCAAAAATATTAAAAAATATTATGTAGACTATAATAAACAGTTATTATTCTATATACATACAGGAAAGACATTATTTTACACAACCAAGTATACACAAATCATAAGAGAAAACAATCACAACAATAAAAAAAGATCAATATAAAAGGAAATCAACAGTACATTAGTGTATATGTATACTCCAGTGATTACAAGCACAAATACAAATTCCATTTTATTTATTAGACTCATATCATACAAAAGAAGTATTCCGACACGTCGATTTTGACCATTGTAAAACAATACATGAAAATAAAATTATTACACAATAGAGGTTTATCGAAATAGGACAAAGGAAATGCAAGCGTTGCTTACAAGTCAGATTAGTTTTTTTATTATTTCTGACTGCTTCTTGGTAATGGAAAGAAATGAGAAGAATACAATAGAATCTATAACATGCCGAAATGTGAGCATATGAGTAAGAGAGAATGATTACGGAAGCTTACTTTATTTTCTATCTAAAAACAGGTGACTACATAAGTATAAGTATAGATGTATGTATTCTACTCATTTGAAAAAAGAGGGATTTTAAAGTTTTCGATATGTTAAGCAGCTCCGTAAGAAGTCACACTGCTTCGTTCCGCGTGTCAATAGATGAGATGGCTGATTGTTCAGTGGATCTATAATATGGGATTTGTTAGTGTAGGGAATTTCATTGAAGCAATAAAAATATAATAGTGAGAAGACAATTAAATAGCTGGAATGATCTTAATGCATAAATAATACATGTGTAGTTGGAATAAACGAGTCACAAATTAAATTCGTAGGTAATGGAGTAGAAATAAGAAGTTTAGGATGTATACTTCGTTCCAACGACGGAACTAGTTTATGTGTATTAAGAATAAATAAATTGAAAGCGGTGGGCAGAATGTAAGGCTTAGTATTTTATCCGTAAAGGAATTAACTTAAACACGCTGGATCTGAGCATAGTATATACCAGTTTGAGTATACATGTCCTGGACGAATTGATTTCAGTTGAATGTAGATTTGTCCAAATGGTATATTTTCACCAATATGAACAGAATGCCAAGCAGAAACTTCAATAAAACCACACTGTATATCATTTGGAATGAGGTCATAGGAAAACTATTAATAGTACGTAGTCGTCAAATATTAATCGGTGAAAAATGTAAAAAAAAAGAAACTCGACATTACAATTAGGCAACAGGAAAATAACTTCTATAATTTAGGAAAAAAAACCCACAAGTTTATAATAATAAAAAGTTTGAGACTTAACGAATACATTTCAAACATATTTTGGTTTACTTTATTAAACGCCAAAATATCAGAATAAAATCGTATTTATAATTCTTTAAACAGATATACACTAGTCAAGTCCTATCAAATCTAGTTTTTACTAATTCTCAAGTCATTTCGACTATTGAAAATAATCTTGTGAACACGAAGGTTCAATCATTTGTAATGTTATCACTGGGGACAAGTTACTAATACATATCATATTCAATAGTATCCCATCTAATACGATCAGTTATCAAAACCATGATATTCAAGCTATCACATCCTGAGAGCCATTTGTCAATTATTGATCCGTTTAAAACTTTCAGCGCTAATATTAACATTCCGTTTAATATATATGCTCAATAAAACTAATAAGTCTTATTTGCTTTGATTATATTCTAAATTCTAAACATGTGTTAGTCAAACATCACAACCGTATATGCTACACTGATAGTAGTCCAGTTTTCCAATCATGATGGATCAGTATGGCTACACAAGTTGAACATTTGGTCTTTTATGTTCCATCATGCTAGACAGATCGGTTGGAGGACGGTTCAAATAAAAGCACAAAACGCATTAACCAAGGGTGAAATATAATTTATTGAGATGGGGTGGCAGTAAAGTGTTTACCTCAAAAAAAACCAGCATCTACAGCGATGGTATCTTTCCATAGCAGAAAAATGTGGTTAGGAAAGATTAGTACTAAAATCAGCATACCCCACTTTAGCTCACGAATTTCTGTCGCTGGTGACGAAGTCTGAAAAGGAAGGTGTGTGGCTGTCTTCGATGCTCTTAGGTAGCTAAAAACTATTATTAATCTAGATTCCTTTATGTATACCTCAAGAAGGAGCATCCTTCCACGTTGTGAACAACAGCTCATATAACCCAAACAACACACGAGATCACACTACTCATATTAAATTCCATCCTTACTTTTTAATACTTTTTCAATCAAATAATTAAAATAACTCATTGTCATTGAATAAAAATATAGAGAATTTAACGAATAAAACCAACTCAAGCCCGAACTTTGCGTGCGAAAACGTCTAACTTCTCATCCTTCTTTCCTCCTAATTTCTTTTTGTGGTATGCTCTGGTTTATTATTATTGACTTCTTTAGTGTTTTGTAATTTCGAACCGTAATGAGTTATTATTACCACTAAAGAATTTTTCATAATTATTACTCAATTTTTATTATTATAACTTTTTTTTTCGTTTTTCGTTTTTCCTCATTACTGTCAAGTGGACAATTATCTTCATAATTCTGACCCGTAAATTAATTCCATCCTTATATTCTTCACTTACCCCTTGATTATTGCGTAACCTCATTTGATAATAAAAGTATCGAATCAATTTATGATGCAATCTTTTTTATCCTTCTATGGAGATATAATTACCATACAACTATAAATACGAAGGTATAGCTTGAGGAAATGCTTTCGTCGAAAAGAAACTTTTCTTCGCTAACTTTTCTTATGACTCTACCCTTATTTCCAAGCACCACAATCCTAAGGGGTTCAGTTTAGAAAATCCTATCCCCGATAATTTGAAACTAATATCTAAATATGTTGAAGCTTCCAAAATCCGAGCCTGTCAGACAACAGGAATTATTAAATAGAACTTCAGCATCTGGTAATAACAATATTCTACTTTTCTGAATCTTATATTATCTGAATGTGGTTATTTCGTCGACCTCACCTAGCCAGTATTGAGACCGGTTTATCCTCTGTATATTTGAGGCCTTGATTTCTACTTCTTGTGTTCACGCTGATACAAACAAATGACTAGATTTATAATCAGAGCAGGCTCTCTCGTATTGCATTGCCTATATTTCCATTGACTGCAGTCTGGATAAACAAAAACAGATGAGTTTTACAAAAAGCAATCAGGCCTTCTTTAAAAAGCTAAGCGCTGAGACATAACAATCATAGCAGGTGGTTTATTTGCTCCAGTAGGTAATCTGGACTAAGCTAAAAGACACTTAAGTGAGTCTTATAGTGTTTCAGCTCAACGAACAGACAATGGTGACTATATATTTCAGCCAAGCTGAGACGACCATTTATTTCTAACATGTACCAGGTCTAATCACGAGGAAAGACATCATCTGACATAGAGATCTCCAAAATCTATTGAACAATGGAGACAAATAGGATATATCGACAAGAGCCTATTTGGTTTAAAAGAACATTGCTTATACAAATACAGAGATAAGATTAAACTACCGGTTCAGTAAATATTATCAAAAAAAGTATCAAACAAAGGTAGTGTTCAAAAAATCTATGCATTCTAAAGATCATGAAAATACTATAAAAACAAAAAAAACAAACTCTTGCAAAATAAGAGACATGATCACGATTTACTGTGATATTGAATGATGGAAAGCTAGAGCGTCGAACAATGTTTGTTTTATGTTTAGTTGTTTTACGACGTCGGCCAGAAAGTAAATAAACTTTTATATACACATCTGGTGGCTCATTCGATCCGGGGATGTACTAAAATATATAAAAAAAGATTTGAAGATCAAAATTGGAGTTGACCTTAAACAGAATGTATGCATAGAGATACATAATTCTTTACATTCGATTACATAATAACTTATCGTACAATGCACAATAATATGATCAATTAGAGACGTTTCAACAAAATGTGAATCTGAATTCGGCTTCAGTAAAAACAAACAGTAACAACAGAACATAATTAATTTGATAAACGCATCTTAATTCACCTAGTATATTACAGATGAATCGGGTTGATACGTAAGCTATTCTAACATTAATGTCATATGATATTGCCTAATGTTTCCGAACAGAGCAATCTTTGTATAATTTAATCCAGATTTTTTTCAGTAAAAGAATAAAAACTTGGTAAATCCAACTGTCAATTAATTCAGTCATATTACTTTATAGGTGAATGAAACAGTTGAAATATTTCAATTTTGCCTAATTATAGAAATAAGCAACACAATGCATAGTCTTGTCAATAAAAAAAATTTTCATCATGTGATTGAATGAAAAATGTATTCCCACTATTAGTTAATCCGATTTCAGATGTCATCATTTATCAAAGTGAATGAGTATAATGTAATGAGTAATAAACGACTAACCACTGTGTAAACCATTTCATTTTTATCTCACGGATGAATGTATCGTGCTGGCTAGGTGAGGTTAAAAGGTTATATTCAGTCAAATGTAATCTAGTGAGTTAGCACAGTTGAAGATAGTTCTATTAACTGATCGATAATAAAGATTAGCTTACATCTTTGATACCGATTAATTATGCATTCAGTCTCCATGCTAAAGACTTACCAATAGAATACAAGAATATCATTATGGCAAAATAACTGTTTATTGATTTTTTCGGAATTTCAGTATCTTATATGTATTATGGGAAACAAAGAATAGAAAGAGGATGATTGAACAGTTATTACAAGTTATGATTTCATAACAATTACCATATTTTTTCAGCTGGAAATATATTTACTTAAAACATATAGCATATTAGCTTCGAATCTCTCTTGTGACAGAGAAAATAATCTTTTGTGCGCATGCCTATGACAATGAAATAATCTATTATACTATGGTCTATATTGTTTCGTGCAGAAAGTTAAGAACAGGTTCGCAACTATAAAAAGATGAGCAGACTTCGAGCCTTCTGAGTTAAGAGTTTCCAAAATTTCCATTAGTCTAGTACTCATCATAATTAGAATCATTCAACCAGCTAGAATAAGAAAAATGAAATTCTCATGGACATATACCGAAGTATATGTTACGTATTTAAGGAGGGATAAATTTCTACATTGATCAATAAGTCATTAAAGATCATAGATCATATTTGATGTCGTCAAAGAATATTGATTTGCCACACGTTTCTGAAAAAACAGCCTTGAAAACCCTTTTTAAGCACGGTATGTAGAAGAAAAACGGACAAAGACAGGATGCACAGACTAAAAGTAACATTTACAGAAACAATTATCACTGCACACTGATACGAATGAGTAATCTCATCATCAACTATTTATCACTTATTTTCTCTTCAAAATACACCTCAAAAGAAAGAGACAGACGGCTACAGACCTAGGTGCAATGCTTGTTAGTAAGCTGTAGCATTGAGTATATGCTAATCATTCAGTCCATGCCTCAGATTGTGTATCATTAAACAAAAAAAATATGCTTCACAATGTCAAGTTATTTAAACTAGCGACTGTTTCTATCTCATAGACAGAGGTCAATTAGCATTTAGCGTTGATCAGACAGCATGACATAAGCTCACTCAAGTAAACACCTTTAGTACACATGCAAACTAGGAAGAGGAGAAACTGTTTCAGACAACAAGAATAACCAGAAAAGTGGATAGGTGCAAAAAACAATCATCCATTTCTATACATAACATCATTAATGTAAGGAAGGAAATGAATTCATCAAAAAAACAATCATATGCCCATCCCACGCACATATAATTAAGTTTAATAAACCGAAATAACAAGTTAAATCAGAACAACGATAACAGTAACAACAAGCTAGAAAGTGAGTAAAGAAAGTAAGTACCATAAAAACTGTACAAGAAAAGCTTACTAAACATCTGGCATGCTTGATTAAAACATCTAAACGTCTGGAATTCTCACTTAAATATAACTGAATATGTACAGCTGGCAAATGGTCTACTTTATATGTTGATGTTAATAAATCATCAGAATTATTATGAAACAAATGAAACGATGATAATGATGATGAAGATAATGATGGGATGAGTAAAGGAGTTGTGTATTCTTTAGATTTTTCAGGTAAATAATCTTGTAATGGTGATGAAGATGACCAACAATTGATTAATGATGATGAAGTTGATGTTGTCAGCCCTAGAATTTCAAAAAACAAACAAACAAAGACTAGAAATGGAGAGATTGAAGTAGGCGTAAATCCAGTGTAAGTAAACATAAGGTGAGTTGAATTTAGTTGGTTAATTGAGAACAATTAAACACACACATAAACATCATTGAAAGTGATATTTAAAGAATGAACTATTTCGGATTTTCGATAACAGGTGAGGTAAAAAAGTCTGATCAGAAGGATTCAACAACAAGTTGAGATGGAGATATGAATTAATGGATTTTAATCCTATTGAATTTACTGTAAAAGTTGAAGGCTACAGCTTTCATAGAAGAACAGATCACAAGGAGTAAAGAGATACATGTGGTATGTTATTAGTTCGCGATTTTTTAAAAATTAAGATTATTAGTGTTAAAACTTGTGTTCTTTCAATATGCTGTTATTTGCTCTATACAAAAAAATCATTATGCAGTTGGATAAATCACACTTTGAAGATAATTCTCATCAAGACGTGACACTAATTATTAAAAACTAAGAAATCCCAAAAATATCTGTCAAAATGACTGAGACCATTAGACTGATATGTGTATACATTCCCACAAATAGTTAAATGTAGTGTCCAAGGTAGATTTCTTGTCATTAATCTCATAGGTATTATTTAAAATCGAATGAAATAATTTTCGAGTGTTTCCTGGTTTTCAACTAGTTTTCCAACTGATGTCAACCAGTAATCAGCTTTGCTTTATGATACAAGAATATTTACTTACAAACTGTGAAATGAATTATTTTTTTTAGCGATTAAAAGGCAAACTTGATTAGCATAAATTAGATTAGATGAACTAAACTTTCAAAAACGTCTAACACAATAAAAAGCATTAAATTAAACCACTAATAATGAGCTATAGAATAAAAAACGGAGAATGTATGAAGACGAAGTTATCATTTCCATATAATGCTAATATTTGAAACTAACCAACAATGCTTTATAAGCAGTGAGATCCGGGACGCGCGTTTCGTCCTATTTCAGACACGTCAGCTAGATGTACCTGCATCTCAGAGTGGATGCTCACTCTGAGACTCGAACGCAGTACCGTTCGCTTCAAATGCCATCGCGTTGTCCACTTAGCTACTGAGTCCTGATAGCTACTTGCTTGTGCAATGAGATGAAGTTTAAATTTACTTGGTAATGTTTACTTGAATCTTCCCATTGATGATTAGGACTGCAATTGATCAGTTTCTTATTGGCATATGTGTATACTGTGAGTATTGCCTAGATATTACCTTAATTCACAAGTATTGTAAGCAACAATGCTTTATGCACAAATTTGTTTAATAAAGAATTTGGTTGTCTGTCTCTTTTCATCAACTGAAAATGTGTTGGAGCTGTAATTTAACTAAACCATATATAACATTTTAAAAATCCACAATAAGGTGATAAGAAATTTATTTTACTAATTGTGTATTGTCACCTATCAGCTTATTCAAGAGTTGTGAAATTTATTTAATCTTAAAAATAAACTGATTACTTTTAAATATCATAAGTATGTAGAAAATTTGTATTGTAAACTAAAATCTATCAGAATTTGAAAACAATATTTGGCAAATTATAGTGATCAAATGATTAAGGCGAAAATGTAGTTTTAAGCCATTAGTTAGACCATATTTAAAATGCCCACTCTGGGATGCAGGTACATCTAGTTGACCGGTACCAAATAGGACGAAACGCAAGTCCTGAATTTCATTGATAGTCACTATCCATCTCTGCTTATAACACATGTGATTTGAGGCAATGTCGAGGCAATCCGCACAGGATGCACATATGCCAATAAGAGACTGATAAGCTGCAGTCCTAAACATCAATGGGAAGATTCAGATAAAACAAAATGAAAGAAAACTGTAATTTATATGAGACTATATGTACTTAATTCGCCATATATAAACAAACTATTTTTACTTCTAGAGGAAAAGTGCTGACGAATGATTTTAAAAATGTTAAAATATGACAAATAATGAAAAAGCCAACTTTAGTTAGGAAAAGCGGTTTTTTTAAATAGTATAATTATGCATTATAGTATCACGCATGCAAAATCAAAGCCTATGGAAATGTCGTTTGCAAGGAGACTACAAAATGGCACTTGTCACATAATCTACTATATGTTTGACTGATCAAAGCGGAAAGTTGAAATATTTCATGGTTAAGGTCTTCGAGATGAGAGAATTTTGTGATCGCAAGTACTAACTGATTACGCTCGAAATCGACATCAATAACTGAATTATAGGTATATTCTTCCAAATCTAACTTTCCACTACACCTCACAACTTTCAATCAGCAATTTAGTTTTCATTCATTTCGAACTATAATTTCTACACTCAGCTCTCTACTTATAGTAGATATTGAGATTTACACTTCTTTAATTTATATCTTTTACGTTCACTGTATTGATGTATATTGTAGCAACTTGCTCTAACCTATAATTTAACAAAGACTAGCTTTGTTTATAACTATCAGAGTTATAAATATTAGTCATCAAATATAACATGTACACTAACATCATAGCATTAAAGTACTCGTAATTCCAGGTTGCAACAAATGAGAGTAAGAAATCTTGTTCAAACAGAAAAGACAATTTCAAATTTTGTTAAGATAGAACAGTAAGACAATTTGTTAATACTAATTACCTTCTGTTTTACTTTTTAAAAAGTAATAAAATTAGGATAAGATGAAGACAGAAAATAAACCTTTGTGAAATACCGAAAACAGCAAAGAAACCATATATGTATATAGTGTTAGATAATCTAGTTTTAATTAACTAAGCATGCTTACACGAAGAAGTTAATTAAACAGCTGTAATGAAGAAAACATATACTGAAATGAATTATTACTAGTCATATTAAGGTAGGTAGTTTATGCATAATTCAGTATAACAAGAGTGACATATTCAATATAACACAAACATTGCTATACGAAAAATGATTACTTCATAATTCATTCTTTTCTTGTATTTACAGTTGAAAAGAAAAACGGGATACACTTATAAAGTATTATGATTGAAATCATTCACACTATAATGAACAAGTTCACTATGAGACATACTGACTAGTAAGGCTTAATTGGTTCATCACTGTGTAATAAATACGTGAAAATCCATACTTTTGCCTCTGTCAATTTTTTTCAATTTGATCGACGGATGTTAGTTATATCCATGATATTTGCATAAACGTGATCAAGCGTCCGTATGTAAACGATGGAAAAAATATAGTGGCGGTAATTTGCAGTTTTAATATTTATTTAATTTTTATTACAAACGGGAATCAGACGAAGAATCATTGTACTTCAAGAAAACAATTTATAGAAACATTGTCATAAATATGAACACCTTAAAGTAAATCACAACAAGCCATACTAGAGAATGACTGAAGTAAAGCTTAAATTTATTTAGGTAGAAGAAGAGGCTCATTGTATTTTGATTGAAGGACTGTACTCATCAGGAAACCTAAAAGCTTTTAGTTAGACCCTATTTAAAATGCCCATTGATAAAAGATCTTAAAATAGAATGAAGCAGTTGTCCAAACTTCCATTATATTCAATAAACCATCAGCTCATGTTATCTTGTCACTGATATTATTTCTGAAGTACATGAATTTGTGAAGACTGTTATTTTGTTGATGCCTCATTTATTCCCCACTTTTTCAATTTAGGTGGTCAATTAAGTTTATTTAATAACCAATACTAAAATTAAACACGAAGTAATAGTATAATATACTGTATTAGGCTTGATGAAAAAATTCCTACGAGTACTTCCAAGAAGTATATCGTATGCATTACGCTTTACTCAATAAAGTACTAAGTTAGTGGGGGGATCCATAGTTGATGTAAATTATGATGATCGAAATTCAACCGTACATGACGTCACGGATGACTATAGTCCCAGCAGTCGAGAGTGAGGTACGTGAGTCGAGATCGAACATGAGTAGACAGTGGTCCCAAGACCAGGAATGTAACTATTCAGCTATCACAAAATTAACAGTTAATCATAGTTCATTTTGATTCTAGTCACCGAGAATTACTCATTGTTTTATTCAGGAGAAAATCCGATGTAGTAGTAAAGTAAGCATAAACAAACCATAAAAATTTGATACCTATGATCTTAAAACGGTCGTTTGAATACGAGACCATTAAAGGAAATTCGACTTGTTTCAATTTTACGAACTTATTATTCCATGCAGGATAAACGTAATACAACAATATAAGCAAGGTTATCATTCATGCCATACATTTCATTGCTTAAATTTCCTATGAAAAACAGATATTAGCAAGGGACAATCGCATATTCTATGGTTTTGTGCTGTCAACTGCTACTTTTAGCTGATTAAACCATAAGTGACTAGCATAAGAGCTAATGAAGCTGTTAGCAGAAAATAAATTGACAACTAGCTGATCACCAAGTAGTAAACAATTTTATGTTTGTCAAATACTTCATAGTGATGATCGAATACTATCCACCAAGTTCCAATGTGACCACTAGTCTAAGTGACTTGACATTATGTGCACTGTGTTGAGATGTAAGGTGGCGGTTGGAAGTAGCCAACAGGAAACTCTGGATCTAGGTTTCATCCTGTATAGCACTAGTCAACAATGGAACTGCCGCTACCTGAAGAATTTGGTCCGATGTCACCCAAAAGCTTGATACACAGAATCCCATCAGCGTTGAAAAAGACTTGACACTAGTCACTACTTAGTAATCTATCAGATGTAAATATAACGCAGTCCTACAGGTCAGTCATGACGTCAATAGATCAGTGGTAAAATCCTTGACTGTGAATATGGGTGATGCGAGGTCAGGGAACATCGATTTCCCCAAGACTAAATATAATCCTAGCCGGAACCAAATAGTACGAAACCTAGATCTAGGGTTTCCTATTTCCTACCTCCAAACACAATCTTACTCAGAAAGCAAATACTCTAAAATTTACGATCGGTTAGAAGCCCAGAAGAATTCTATGGCACCTAAATAATGATCGCAATGCTGATCCTAATTTTAGTGCTTAACCAAAAAAGACTAAACTATCGGCTATTGATGAATAGTAAACAGTGAATTAGCCTGACTTTAGAAATAAGTAAACGAACAAAATCGAATTTCCTGTGTACACCGCTACTTTTTACGTAATTAAACAGATACACAATGAAAGTAAAGCTGACTAACCTTGTGATGGCATGTCTTCAGCAGTAAATCTTTCATCGAACAATACACTGTGAAAAAAAGTATATACGATTGCACTCTAAATGAGAAAAAAAACATACAAACAAAAATATAGCTTGTTAGATAAAAATGAATAACGGATAATATCTAAATTAATGTAGATATAAGAACTTCGGTCTAAATTTGAACGAATAGTTTCATTGTAGTTGGGCGATGAGTTAATGTAAGGCAGGGAGGAAAATAATATTTGTAAAAATCTCAGTGATTGAACTTAAATGAATCCAACGTTTCACTCGGTCATCTGGTCCAAGCATTTTCAAGGAAATATAATCGAATGGCTCAACAATCAAACACCACATGAGCACAGGTCACTCTGCAAAGCGGACTCTGAGTTCAAAATTACGTAGAAGGTTGTGAAAGGCAGTTATATTGCATCTTTTAAACATCACCGAATTAATCACTATACATCTGGAAAAACTGGAAGTATGTGTCCAAACAAAATTGATAAGACCTCTTTTTCTACCATGGTCTTACTATCTCATAATTTTCTTTTTTCTTCGTACTCTCCTTCCTTCTCAACCATCTGCTTCCCCTTCTACCTCCAACTGGTTTGTTTCTGTTTCTATGATCCTCCTGATTACATTTCATATCAATTTCTACAATTTATCTTATCGTGCAGAGCCATCCTTTTTCAGTTTGAATTTCCCTATTTGTCTTCATAAGAATCTTCAAGCCCTTAACAATAAAACTATTATTAGTTCCCCTGATAAAAATAATGTCTTAATACCTTTGTTCATTCTTTAGTGGCCCGGGATCTGACTCCCATTATATCATATGCTTGATTGATATTGAAATATACATATCCTCAATCTTCGTATAAAATTATTGACTTAAATCGCGTTAGTGTATAACTGAACTAAATAGGTCAAATACGAGAATGAAGTTTTGAATACTTGTATTTTGTACACTCGTTGATCGGAACAGACAATCAGAGAATCGCAGAGAATGAAGCGAAGAAGAGAGAGGGATGTGAAACAAAAGGATGTGCAGTGGAGAAAGCGTGTGAGACAACTCGATTTAATCAATCACTATAGCCCAACAAAAAAATAAGCTACAGACAAGTGATGAATGGGATAAGGTCACACACATACGCTTAGATAAAAACAGTCAAGGTTGATAAGCCAGTAATTAATAAGGTCTAAATGTGACTCAATGTTACCATGTTTGGAATAATTTTTTTACCACTATTGTCGTGTTTATTAGAATTATTTTTAACCTGAAAATATGTATATATATTTGCGATTGTACGGACTTGAAAATGAATTTTCTGAAAAGAGAACTCTTCGCTGAACCAATCTTTCTTTATGTCTCAATGGGCATATTCCGTTTAACATCCTAAACAGTCATCCAGTCATTATGACAGTATTGAAAGTAAGAATTTGCTGTAGTGTGTATGAGATATTTGGTGTGAAATGTAGAGAGAAGTGTGTATGTGAGTACATCTGAGGTAAGAAAAGTTTATTGACTGTACATTGACTCTGATCAGTGGTTTATTTGAAATCAGATAGTTTGATATTTTATGAGTCAAGCATATCAAAGCAGGCATAAAATGAAAATAAACAAGCAGAGCAGGATGCCCGTTAGCAGTAGCATCTAGGATGCGCGTTTCGTCCCATTCGGGACTCGTCAGCCGGATACACCTACAACCCAAAGTTGATGTTCACTCCGATATTCGAACTCAGTACCATTCGCTTCAAACCCCATCGCGTTATCCATTTAGCTACTGATTCCAGATAGCCACTAGCTTGTGCAATTGTTGGGTCGGCTTCCGGAGAACTTCAACGGAGCCTCCAGAGGCCCAAAAAGGAGCCGAAGGGCCCTAGCCAATCAGAGTATGATGGAACGTTCGAGAATTCCAGCGTGGCGTGCTACCATTGGTTGGTAGCATAATATGACGTTAACGGATTGGCTGAAACATGATGTTGATTTAACAGACGCCAACATCTATAAATACCCTTGATTTTCTGTACTAAAATGAACCTTGGGATAAAGTATTTTCTCTCATACTTGTGTCTTCTCTCTGGTGTTCAAGTCGCTGTGTAGTTCTAGACTGTGGATTGCGGGAATAGCTTAGGAAACTAACATAGCGTTCAACCTACACGACTTATCAGCAATGGATTGAATTTTTAATTCAATTTTTAATTTTTGTTGTTTCAGTCCTCCCATTGATGTTTGAGACTGCAATTGAACAGTTTCATATGGCATGCAAATGCATCCAGCTGACCAGTACCATATAAGACGAAACGCGAGTTCTGAATTACATTAATAGTCACCATCCATCTCTGCTTATAACGCTTGTGACTTAAGGCAATATCAAGGCAATCCGCACAGGATGCACATATATCAATAAGAGAGTGATAAACTGCAGTCCTAAACTTCAATGGAAGAAAGACTCAGACAACCAATACAATAATTAATTAAATTAAAAGTTAATGATTGTATCATTATGCTGGTCAAATTGATTGTTTATCAGATATTCAGATAAATCAACTAGTTAGAACAAGTTATTGTTTTTTTTTTCAAACAATAAGTGTTAGATTAAACTGACTAAAATGTAATAAGGAGTTCAAGTTCACTTATTAATGGTTAGTTGCATTGGAACTGCTAACTGTCTTCCGTCTCTCCTATTAACACTATTTGGATATGCCCATATAAGAACAGCTGCGGCTGTTAGTATCTCTTTGTATGAACTTTAACCATTTTGGAGGATTATTGTGCAATGCTGTCACCGACATATTTCCTGGTAATATACGAATCTCAAATGAAGAAAACATTGTGAACTGCTATTGTACAATAAAAATGATTATGTACAAAAAAATGTATTTTCAATTATGATCATGAACCGAACAATGTTAGACCACCATTGAAAACCTGGAATCACTGGATGGCCATTTTGTCTTAGTATGAGACTCCTCGGCGCTACGCATCCTCTATCCTGCACGCGGGACTCGAACCCAGGTTTCCAATAGTAGTTTACCATTGATCGGTTCAAGATCTCAATTGAAACTCAGCAATCTCCACAACCCTATACTGATAAAAAAAAAGTATTTTAACAGAGAAAAGAGCTTGTATAAAATACATGCAAAGTGAACAATTGACTATACCAATACAAAATAGCTAGGTAGATCTTCTTTTGGTAGGATATCAGCAAATTATTTGTCGAACAAAACACTGTTGGTACGAGCAAGTGAGAAATAAAGAAAACACTTGGATTGTACGTTGCCAACGTCAGTTTTAAAGGCGGCTATAGTGAAGTTTCAGAATAAAGTATTAGACAGTACTTTGCTAACATTTTTCGATTTATAAAGCGCATGAATTGTTGTTTTAAATTACACTGTTATTTATCTGTCAGTCAGTTATTATGTCGAGACAATCTTCAAATGTGGCTTTCAAAAAATAAGTTTTTTCATAAAATACCCTTATACACTAGCACTGAACGCCTTATTCAATTTAGTTTAGTTTATACATTAAGACAATCATACATTAAAATACAACATATTTCGGTATCGAAATTCAATTTTAGTTTCCAACACCTCCCATGCAACGATTTAAATATAATGACAAATATTTTTTGTACTGACCGGTTTACAAAACAATATCAAGAAGATGGGGATGAGAACTTTTTCAAAAAGGGATGAAAAAAATTTCACTCGAAAAAAAATACAAAAATGGCCGTGCAGTAAATGGTTACATAGACAAGTACTTTTTGTCATAATTTTAAACTGCTCAACTGCAAAGAATGTACAGGTAAAAACAATTAACGCTTTTAATGGATTAGCAAAATAACTCAATTGACAATCTTGCATTTATTTATGACACCATTATTCAGATAAAACTAAACAATTCTTTTCTACTAAGAATTACTGTTTGGAAAAGAACCCAATCATAAATATTATTTGCTATTTTCTGAAAGAAGTTATTACTATTTTGCTTCATTTACCGATCGTTAACGGTTAGCGTGATTTATGCATGCCCTATTCATTATTTTATCATGATGATTTATGGATATTTTGCTACGCATATAACGTTTATTAAAATAACATACGATGTGTTAAGAAAAAACTAATGGAAATACTTCGATGAATAATTTCTTTACTAATTGTGTATTAAACATTTGACCACTATTCAACGTCAGTTATTACTATCACTAACTATTAAAACTAGTTATAAGTTTTTTCCCAAATTCTCTTTTAATGATCTAATCCACGAGATTTTTATAAATCTCAATTGATTATATTGCTTAATCACTAAGGCTTAATTAGAATTCATCGATGTTGGTTCAGTTGACCTTTCCTATAGGAATGATGTCGTTGTACTAGTAAACTGGTAGTACTACATTCGCCTATAGTAACTAACTTTATGACAAAACACTGAAACATTCTGAATAAATTTTGCATGTACTATTGTTATACAGATTAGTGTTCATTAGATGACATTTCCTATACGAAATCGTTTACTTAAACCGTATATTTGATAAAGCTTAAAAAGCGTTTACGAATACGTATGCGCTAATCACATAATGACTATTAATCTAAAATGAATTTTGATGGTTTGATCACTTGACCTTTGCTATGGAAATAAGAAATTGAGACAAAAGAATTTAAATCAAATTGTGGGTGGCCCTGAAAAGGGCCTTTACTCGTTCTCTTAACAGTTCCGAGTTTCATGAACAAAGGCGTTGCTATTATTCCATTATAGCTCCCTACATAGGACAGTGGATTCCGTGGACGTGTGGTGATGGGTCGTGAGCACAAAATAAATGAAGCATTACTTCGCATGGACAAAAAACCCAGGCATTCCATCAGCAGTTTCATGTGGCGGTTGCGCAAGATTGCAAATATCACAAAGTCTGTTGTCATACGCGTCTTCGTCATTGTCGTTGTCTCGTTCAGTGAACTCCTCTGAGCTAATCGAAACAATTTCTTCCTCGTCATTGCTTAACGTTGCTTCCATATTGACGTTATTTTGACAGTTGGTAACTTACAAAATACGAAGGAAGGACATTGAGTGTTCACGGTAGTCCTTAATGAAAAATTATAATAACACTAATCAAATTACCTCGTTCGTCTACTCGGCTGTGAGGAACCACTAGGTGTTCTACGGCCATTTAATATACGGCTTCCGATCTCTATGGAAATCAGAAACCCTCACCACATAATGGCAGTACGTGGCTCTTTCATACCTTCTAATGGCGCTCTTCAAAAGATTCGAACGCTACGAGATACAATGTGCTCAAAAAAGAATAGGTTATCGGTTTCTGTGACAACGTGAGGAACGACGGAGCTCGTACTTTGCATGTTATTACCGTCCATAATTGTAAGAAAATGTGCTCTGTCGTCATGTCCTGATATTTTATATCGATTTTAAGAAATGAACGACCAATTATAACGAACTCAAAACTAGTTATTTGATTGGACGAAACAGAATGAAAATTATTGGAAGATGGGGATGAAAAATTTTTTCAAAAGGGACGAAAAAAATTTCACTCGAAAAAAAAATACAAAAATGGCCGTGCAGTAAATGTTTACCAACTGTCTTGATCGGTCAAATAAATATTACTGTATATGAGAGTAAAGCCTATTGAGGATTTAATTGAAAACAATATTACATATGTTGTTCTCATTCACAATATGGAGATTTCTACAACTTTCTAAAATATCAAGTAGTTTTAAGTAGGAATGGTTGTTAAACTGTTACTGCTCCTATCAATTTGGCATTTAACACGATGTGCTAATGTGATGTAGTTACCTGAAGCGATACACTAATGCGTCAGATGCTACGTAGCTAATAACTGACTTACTGATCACAGTTATTGATAGGATATTACAGTTGCTTTCTGTGGTTTCTCATTTCTAGAACGCGCATTAAAAGCAATCACGTTTCTGAATACCATCAAAAGCTAGGATTTACTGACATTTAACGTCAAAACGAAATGAACTTTTATCAAAAACCCAATAAAAAGTAGATGACAAAGAAAATAAATATCTAACTTCTTACTTTGGACACAATATCATCATCTGAAAGTAAGCTGTCTGTTAAAGATTGCACATGATCTTGAGATCGTATGGAACTGATACTTATTGAATTTAAAGCATTCATGATATGCGACACAGTTTTAGTAACAGCTGAATTTGGAAAACGTTCTTGCAATCGCGTTTCTAATTCTTCTAAATCTGAAACACGACGATAAACTCTAGTTGGAACTCGACAATTTTCCCGCCAAACATTCATTGGGAAGTAATAATCCTATAAGAACGAAATATAAATTACTATCAAATAAATATATCAAAAAAGAAACGATTTACTTTACTAAATATATATGAAACAATTCGAAAATTATGTTCAAATATAACTCTACAGTAGCTTTAAGTGTAAAGTTTGAAGGTAAGTTTCATAATACATTTACACCAAATCAATAGTTGAAGTGTATTACGATAGATAAGAAAGCTTTAGAAAGAACAATGTATGCAACGACTTCAGGTATGTAAGACGTGAAAAATAACACGTTTACATTACAGACCTCGTCATAGATGTTACATTGATATATGGGTAGAACTGGCATATCTTAGTGGCCAAAATGAACTGCAAACATGTTTACTGAAGTCCTGTCATGACAAACAGGTTAGTTTGACCTAGTGAAGAAACTTTCAGATTGTAAAACAAAATGATACTACCGACTTCACCGGAATACAATGGCAGACAATTGTTTCCCACGGATAATTAGCACCTCCAGTGAAGCTACTATATTGGAGACAGATATATAGGTTAGAAAAGATTGGTTTTCACCCACCTTCCTCATGAATTTTCAGCTCCAGTGGCAAGATTTCAAGAAGTAGCTATCCAATATTATAGAGAGAGCTACTCTTAAAGAGTTTTCAACCGTTATTCAGAGTCGCTCTAATGAGTCGACAATACTTTTGATGATTGGTTAGTTTCTTCAAAAATAAATGTTCTACAACAATATAAGTAAGGGAAAAGTGCTAACCCCTTACTCACCTTCATTAACACAAGGGCTCGTCAACTGTTTACTTTCATGTTTCCCAGGTTATCTCTAATGTCTTATAAAACAGCGCGGACAAATGCTATCCTTGGTCTCTCGATATCTCACTATTAATATTCACATCACACAAAAAAAGACTAGGTAACCGTGTTTCTCAGAGGCTTAAATTAAGTATGATTATTCACCTAACATCAAGAAAGTAAAATACAAAACCAGATCAGTTCATCCTTCGTGTATCTGAAGACTTTTTAGAGACTTCTCTAAAACAGTAAACCCAATAAAGACACATGTATATAAAATGAATAGACATGCATCATTCACTAGAGGTTATGGAACTTAGACATAGTATCGTCTAACTGTAGTCTCATTCCACGAACAGAAGACTATACATAACTTTGTTTATCGATAGATTTTATGACAGTATTTGTCATAGCAAAGCACACTGGAAAAATATTTAAATCCATTGAAGGTTCTTTATAACGTACACTACGAATCAAGTTAGAGTTTACAGTGAACTGTTAGTGGAACTGTAGTGGCATTGGACAATAGCCACACAATCCACAAAGCTGTGAACACGAGACTACACAGAAAATAGATATTCAATATTTAACGCGGAGAAATACCCAACGATGGGGAAGGCGCGAATAGTGAATTGAATGGACGGGAGTTGATCGAGTGGCATGGCTCGGCCATGCAGGCGTGGTCCCTGCTGGATGTTATCTTATATCTCCTATTCATATTAAATATATTGTTCTTTCTCTAGCCTAAGCTTGTTCATCATGTATTGGTAGTTGTTACGATACGGTGAGTTGGTGTCGATGATGTGACTTCCACGTAAGATCTTATAGATTAGGCAGTTATATCATGACAAATCTACAATTTTAGGATTAGGTCTATTGTTAGAGCAGTACTAATATCATAGTAGACCATAATTCTACATTGGTGAGCCCAACTAAAGAAACGCAACCTATTATTGTTAATCCTTATTTCCACCTTAACCTTCTCAATCGAATTTTATTTTTGTAAACCCACTATTCTAATAGTCCTTTGATTAATGGTCACATATATTATCGTAATGTTATATCTATTAGTTCACATAACTTACTAGCTCAATCGATAATAAAAGTTGATCATCTATATCAACTAATTAGCTTTGATTGTTCGTTAACAAGCTTTAATAGCATTTACATGCTTCAGCAACATAGACTTGTTTAAACATCAAGCTCTAGCAAATATGACCTGCAAATAGCGTAAGTATACATTGACTAACAATGCAATCAAGGACTAAATAGTTATCGGGATCTAATTATCAGTGTTCCTTCACCTAACACCTCATCCTGTTTTAAACTATGCACTATCCTGTAATATCTTTTCTTCTGACCACTGCCTGCCTAATTTCATATTTTCGAGTTCTATTGCCAAACAACAAGGATGACACTTCTCCAAAAACATACGGTGAGTTTCATCTATAGGTTTTCTGCAATCATAAGATCATTTTAGATGGCTCGTTCAATAACAACCACACAATTAACTGAATTCATTCGATTGTTCTAATCCGAGCGAGTGGCAGAAACGTCAACACCATCAAGCACCCTGGAATTAATTTCCATACTGCATGTTTTATTCTGGATACTTTTGGATCATTACTACTTCTTACAAATGGCGTTATATATGTCGTACACTGAATAATATAATTTTCAAAAATAATCAAGGCGAGTTCAACTATTTTACTGGATGATTTTTTTTGTACTTAACATGTATATGTTTTTCAGTTGCTTTTGCCATATATTTGTAAGTGTCACTAAGCTAAATGCAGTAACTTCTTATGGAAGGTTTATAACGCATCATATTCCTGCCTGAAGTTTCACAAGCAGTCTTAACTTTAAAATTATTTTCTGGTCATGTTCATTATTTTTAAATCGTCATATACGTCAACAACCTGCATGTTAACCTGGCCCATACATACGTCACACTATATCTCCATGTCTTATAAATTTAGAAATCATCTAGATCGCCTTTAACATTTATCAATAAACCCATCATAGTTGTTGTCGCTAATCGTATTTGGGTTTATGGATTGATTTATCATATTAGCAGCCTAAAATGCGAACATAGTTTAAACAATAAGATTAAAAATTTAGGTACTATCAATTGTACCAGTAAAATAACTCAATCCTCAGGTAGCTGTTGGCTAAGCAAACACTTGAAATAAAAACTCCGTAGCCTACTAGAATTAACACTAAACGAATATTTCTGAATTGAAATTTATAATTAAATTAGGCGTCTCGGATTCTTTAACGTTGTAAATTTCTGATGATTTCGAATCACTTAAAGCAACAATACCTATTTTTCCACTGACTAATCCTCAATCAACACTATAACTAATTAAATTTAATAGTTTCAGGATATCGGCATAAAGCATTGTCATAACTTGACAATCACGTAATATGACTGATAAAATTAATGAAACTATTAACGAAATCGGTCAACAAATTGACTTATAATTACCATTAAATGGTGTTGTTTTCTTGGTATCTTCATCCATCACAGATGATTACAGTATGTTTCTCTATCAGTTGCTCATTCAGTAAATATCTCAAAACCTTGTCAGTCTAATTGATGGTTTAGCGACACAATCATGCATGCAAATAATCAGTATAAGCAGTCGAGCAAATCTCCTGCAAACTGAAAATATCAATGTCGAATTTACCCCAACACTGACTAAGGTTCAAGCCATTATCATAGACATGAGTTGGGAGTGTACTCCCCCTGGTTACAACTTATGTTCTCTCTGATAATCACATGAGCATCCCTCACTATTAATCATCTTGTAAAATTTTATTTAGCTAAATACATCTTGCAGCACCACATCACCTCGTAATATGACACAGGCCTAACTGATTTTAATAACTTATAACCACTATATCTCAATTAAATCGTATTCCGCCTTATGATAAACTGCATACTTGCAACTAACTTGTATGCCCAATCAGCCAGCAAGTATAAATATAAATAAATAGTCTGCCGCAGATCAGAACATTGTGTCCAGAGCATGTCTCTTACGAATACACTCATGTTTAACGATTTGTTCCTAGCTATCTGTCCAAAATTCATATAATTATCATGTATTTAAATTTTATTTTGATAACCATTCATGTGTATTAGTAGTATTACTAAATTCTATCACGGTCAAGTAAAAATCAGATTGAGAAAATCTCCCCGTAACTAAATAAACCGTATCAAACTAACTGGAACACTAGTTGGAATTCTTCTCCACGGTATACTTTTGTTCCTTCAGTTAGCCTACTAATACAGATGCAATTGGAATTCAACTCATATGGACAACTAACCGGCATAATCGTTATTTGATTTCATAATTTAAACCAAAACTAATACCAATATTAACATTTCTACAATATTCATCACTTTAATATTTCTAAACACAAAATACTTACTACCTATACGTTAAGTTATTAACCAACGGCTATTAACACGCATCGTTTTATTATTATTATTATTGTAACCCCATTTTTTATAGCTCAAATAATCTTCACCCAAATTTTCATTTTAAGCGTGTCAAGCATGAAGGCAGATTTTTTTTAAAATTATTACATGTATTTCCCGACCAGATGCTGCCGCCTTCTTTTTGATTTATCTTTCAGCTTATCATTACCCGGAGAATTCTACCTATTCTTGGTAACCTCCGGCGCGCGACGATCCCATCCAGTTTGGTGTCGAACCAACATCACGTTGATTCTGGTGGGAGAGTAGTGTAGTGGCATTGGACAATAGCCACACAATCCACAAAGCTGTGAACACGAGACTACACAGAAAATAGATATTCAATATTTAACGCGGAGAAATACCCAACGATGGGGAAGGCGCGAATAGTGAATTGAATGGACGGGAGTTGATCGAGTGGCATGGCTCGGCCATGCAGGCGTGGTCCCTGCTGGATGTTATCTTATATCTCCTATTCATATTAAATATATTGTTCTTTCTCTAGCCTAAGCTTGTTCATCATGTATTGGTAGTTGTTACGATACGGTGAGTTGGTGTCGATGATGTGACTTCCACGTAAGATCTTATAGATTAGGCAGTTATATCATGACAAATCTACAATTTTAGGATTAGGTCTATTGTTAGAGCAGTACTAATATCATAGTAGACCATAATTCTACAGAACTACCTACGTCAAGTGATATTCGTTCACTATCTCCGACTTATTAAATGTTGTCCTACATATCGTTTAAAATAAAGCGTTTCATCCGTCAAACTTTCAAGAGGTTAACCCATCAACAGAAAAGCGTCTAGACAAACTAGAATATTCATCAAATGACGTATTTCTTTTTACCAGATTACGAATGTAAGCTTACTGAACACAGTATGTTGTAATACAAAGATGTTTGGGATGAGATTCTCTTCATCTGAATGGAAAATATTGCTTCGAAACTCGTCTAAGTCAACGATTCGTTTGATGATTGAAAGAGATGTGGTCAGATGTGTAAAACATCTCAATTATCTGTAACTGACAAGATTTATCCACGAACACATAAAGCCTATTAGAGTTTAGTGAACTCAGGGGTAATGTTCATCAAAGGGTGAGTATACCATGCAGTAGGTTCCTCTCTATTGTTTGAAAGCAATGAAGCATGATCAATGTAATCAGGGGGAAACATGAGAAGGGTGTGGTCATTCTGATCATGGGAATTTCACAAGAAATCGTTAAGTATGATGATGCCACCAATTTAATAATATCGAACTTAGGTGTAGAGGTTTAGGTTAAAGAAGTACATAAAATATCGAATGATGTGGTTGGAAGATATATTGTCTAGCCCTATTGGCCGTCGGTTCTGATTTTGTACGTTAGCATAAAAATTAGTTAGAAAAACGTTAGGAGCCGCCAACTGAAAACATGTCATTGGTTTATGCAGTCGGTGGTCGCCGGTCTGAGCCGTGTAGAGAGATATGGGCTTCTAGTTAAATTCAGAACGATAATTATGATCTCGGTTTGGAAACATTAGGCAACATGGCAAAGTAACACGGTCCCGTTTTACTTTTCTCTCTTCCTTTAAATATTGTGCTTGATTCCATTCCACATTATTCACGCTTTAGTTCAAATAGTTCTTGTTAAACTATTTTTAAAATTTTGGTTTCCCGCAGAAATTCATATTACTGGTTATCATCCACCGTTTCATACCAACACTCACTCTAACCCGATGTGAAGTGTGGCATCATGGACCGAAACATATTCATGTCAGGTTCTACGTTGTGATTATGGGACAGATTATAGAACAAAAAGGAAACGTGGAAGAAAAGCAAACTCATCAAATGCTCTCTCACTTATTTCCTCATACTTAATCGAACTCACGGAATGTTTATCATCGGTTTTCTTTTTCACCGCAATTTCCACCACAATCGCATCAATAGTTCCATCTGAGTCATTTCTGTCAATATGATATTGATAGTTTTATAATTGAATATGAGGTAGAAACAAATAGACATATACAAATATGGAAAAAGAAAGGAAACGATAAAAATGAAAACAAGTCAGGAATTAAGTACAATGAGATTAAAAATTGCAAATAACATTTGATAATTTGAAATAAATCGGCAGTTATTTGATTAGGCCAATTTCTTTTAAAAAATTATTTTTTTATTTGCTTCTCGTCAGCTGCTTACAACCTGTGGCATTCAAAAATCATAAATCCAATCTCCTAATGTTATTACTAAGTATCCAAACTCCAGTCTCCTGAAGCCGTTGTTATCAGGCGTTAAGATCTTGATTTATGTGTTCATAAGGAGTTGGTTGTTATTCTATTATTACCTTGGTGACAAATATTCATTTGTTGCATCATAAAACTTTGTTCAACTCTTTCTTTCAATTAATCACATCATCACGTATTTCCATTCCAACTGTCTTCTAGATTAGCAATCTTGTTTTTATTTGCGGTGCTTTACTCATTTTATTATTACTTATTATCAATGTTTACTCAATACGTAACAACCTGTTTCTACCTCTTTGGACTTTTGTTACTATCAATGTTATAGAATATTCTTTAACGTAAGGAGGTATATATTTACAATATTTTATTCAGCCTATTAAATTTAAGTACACCCTTGCTAAACTATACTGATGTGCGATCATAGTAACTTCTAAATAAACTCTTCCATGAAATTAATTTAAATCCAATTCGTAATTATAATTTTTATATATAACAGGTTGTAAGCAGTTGACAAGGACCAAATGAAATCAAACGAATTCATGCTATTCTGCTCAAATGATTGCTCTAGCTCTCTTCAAGCTGATAAAGAGAACTACTATGTATGTGAAATAAAATTATTATTTATATAAACTAATGACTAATGGTGCATTTGATCTGTTTATTTATATGGGGAGTCGAACAGATTGTTTTTTATTACCTTAAGAACCTAGTACTTTTACTGATATTTCTAATTCGAGTTTTATCAAAAAAAACTAATAATTGGAAGCGTTATCCAACTGATTTTGTAAAGAACAACTATGTATTGTTAAGTCCGTAGAGAAATACTAATTGTATCTATTAAGTACTTTAATTTTGATGAACGTTATTCATCAAAATACTAGAATGTTACTTTTCAGCCAAAATGCTAACTAGTCAGTGGTGTCTTATTCTTATACTCTATTATTAATAGTTAGAAAGGAAGATATTATAGTGAAAAGAAGTGTTTTTATTGTCTAAGTGACAAGAGTTCATGTTATTAAAGAAAATTCAAATACTATAAAGGAAAAACAATTAATTTTCATCTTTTTATACTGCAATTACAAAGTATGGTAAGTAATCTGATTCACCCTACTCACTTACTTTTCAAAAATTTTCCTTACAAAATATCAATGAAGTTCAACCACTCTGATATTAACATAATTATTAAATTATCATAATAATTATAAATTTGTTTTTTTGAAAATAAAAAAAGGTGAACCTCATTTATTTTTCTAGAAAAAAATCCGTATAATCATCTTTAGATAATAATAATAATAATAATAATAATGGTAAAACGATTAACTACTGATAAGGTTAGACATTTGATTCAATCAAGTGCAAAATACACTTTGAAATTGTTAGTTTAACAATCGTTAAAAGGCAATGAATAATTTGATGCCTCGTATTTTTATTGCTCTTACAGTAATTCAGCAATAGAAAAATGAATTACAGATGAATTAAAAGATGATATATACACATATTTTAAAAAATATCCATAAATATTAGAATACTTCATAAAATATTTTACAAACTGTAAACTCAGTTGGAGTTCAGGTAGGCAATCATAAAAAATTGACTGTATAGTTTTAATATGTGACTTCTCAGAGACGTGGATCAATGATAGTACGATAACTTCATATCACCGAGTTTACATTTAATCGTTTTTGAATACACAAAGGGGGTTTGCATTTTCGTACGGCTAAGGCTTTAATAAACCTTAGTATACGCGAAGTAGATTAGATGTGTATAAGTCGTAAACTAGTGTCCATCATTATTCCTACTTAAATAAAAACGTCAAAATTAGAACTAAGAAAAAATATGTTTCATTTTAGATGTAGCATTTATAAAAATATTTTTTTACGTACCTTGAGATGAAATATTTTTTTTCCTAATAAACCATTCCCCACTTAGAAACGTTTATTTGCTTGTCGATCATAACTCTACCTAAAACTTATTTAATTGCGCATAAAAGAATGCGACTGAATTTGAAGAAAAACGGGAAATGGAAAAATTATTCAAATGGCTCTCTCCTAATTGAGAACCTGTCACAAACTATCACAGCAAAATGGTAAACAAACTTAAGTTCTATTTGACTATTCGAGTGTTGTATCAGATCATAATGTCAATAACAAGCATACAACTATGAGCCCATCACCACATTAATCATCTAGCCGAAATGTTCTGATTTAAATTTAAAAGAGTATGAAATAGATAAAATGATTGATCGCTTCATAGTTAAATGTACTGTTCTAAATTGTTTTGTTTAGCAGAATAATGACTCGCTGTATTGCATTATACATTTTACCGATTGCCAATACATAGATGAAACAAAAAGAAAACACTATCTTAGGTTTTCTCAAAAATAAATTATGCTTATCAAATCACTCATAAGGAGTTATACATAAGTAAAACCATAGCAACTTAAAATGAAAGGTACCAGAAGTAGTAAACGTCAGCATTTAGGCGACAAACTATGTCTGGTGAAAATATATGATAAGAATTTGATGAGGAAATGTTATTCTTCAAATACGTTCTTTTTTGTGGAGAAAACAAGGAAAACTTTGGACGAGTTTGAGGAAAGATTAAAGAAATTATTCATTGAGCCAAAGTATACTGAATTATTCTCGTCATTCATTTGAATTGCTGAGGAAAATATATCAATGACTTAAAAAAAATGTTGTAGAACGACAAATACCTAAAGACATAATTCAAAGCCTAGCCTATTGTGAAGATGCTTGAAAAGGTTCCAGAAAGAAATCCCTCTTTATTTTGTCATAAAAAGAAAAAAGAACAGTTCGATGTTATATTACATATCCCAGTAAACTAATCCAAGGATACTCATTCGAAAAGTACAAGTTTACTTTATAAAGACACGGGCTTGGTTTTTGAATGTTTTTTTTCGATTGAGATTTAATTTAGTCTTTTTTTGACAAAATTTGAGATTTGAAAAACAAACAACGATCTAACTCTGTTAGAAGAACAAGACAAAGTATGAAACGTATTTCCGATCCAATAAATATCGGTTTCTTTTCTAGTAACCAACAACATGATTTTACAACTTTAAAGAGAGATGACTCTAGAAAACTTCCTTCAAATGTCTTTTTTCACAAATGATTGAAACCTTTAAGTATTAAACCATTCACTAAAATGAATCTTTAGTGTAGATTGTTTCAAATGAACTAATGCGTAGAAATAGAGGAAACATTTGAAATTGTACAAATAAGTACGTTTTACCATATTCAAAACGAAGCAACATTGAAACATCGACTTATTTAATGTTCTCATCAACTAATCCCAGAGTGTTTGATTATGACCAATAAAAACTCAAGAAAGGAATCATCATTATTTTAAAGTTTTTGAGCTAGTATTCTAATTGAACATATACATAATATTTATATGAGAAAACTTACGTGAAGCGTTTCGGGTTAAAACTAAATATTTGTCCAGTTCCATTGTAATTTGAAAGGGAATTACTTATAGTCGGAGGGGATCGAGTCTTTGAATCATTAACCAATTTACCACTAATGTTTGAATTATTGTTGTTAACTCTTTTATTATTGTTACTATTCATATTATCTGTATTCCAATGATTATCAAATTGATTGTTAATGATTGGAGGGGAATTAATGTCAGATGCATTTGTATTTGTGCCAGAAACACCTCCACCATGAGAAGCTTGTTTAACTTGAGCCAATCCATGTACAAAAAAGTTCAGACTAGAAGATTTTGAGTGTAAAGTCTTACGAACTAATCTGTTAAAAAATTATGAGTTAGTTAAAAAAAACGCGAATTGGTGAATCATTGGAACGAAAACGAATAAAATGTAAATCGACCAGTGATCTTTATCTACGTTACTATCATTATCATTAGAAGACTGATTAGTTTGTCGTACATGTTCAATAAATACGAATTTCTATTTCCATTCCACAAAGCAATCAAATGAATGTTTTGCAATAGTAAGACACTTGGAAGCTGTATAAAAAAAAGGCCATGAACCTGCATTTCATAGTTGCTGGTATAGTTTATCGATGAGTATTCTGTAAACTAATAGCAACTGAACATTATACATGAATGAGATTATTTGACTAATATATTAGTTTGGATTTGTGAAAGATTATTATTATTATTATTAATGGCTTTATTCAATATTACATGTTTGGTATAATATAGAATTTCCAGCACAAAGTATTCCAACAAGTTTCCTTTTCCTATTTTGTGATCGATCCTGACAGTAAATATTGAGTGATCGCCAGTTAGATCGTAGCAGTTCAGGAAACGACATCTGAATAATGTTCATTATTTTCAATGCATACTGCCAGTCACCACGATGTATCTGATTGTACTTTTTTGTAAATTCTACAGTGAATGGTCATAAACCTTTTATAAACGTGGCTGAATAGGTTATGAAATTAATAGACATAATGATGTGTCAAAACAAAGAAAATCAGTTAGCTTATTGAAATATCAGGATGACAGGAACAGGTAGCCCAGATATTCAAGCAGGTTGTCAATAATGGACTTACAGAACTATCATAAGAAAATCATTATTATACTTTTACTATATAATTATTAAATACTTCTATAATTGTATTTTTATATCCCTCTAATTGTAAACTCTCATTAATTGTTCTTACATGTCATATTGTTTAGTTACTTTTAATTGATTATTCTTTTATACCTCTTATTTTGTATGACTTAGTTATGTGTAAATCGTAAACTCTTATTTGTATTTCTATGTCGTTAAATATTCAACGTACATTATTATACGAGCTTTTCAAATATAGAGGAATAGAGTACAATAGAAAAGATGAATCATTTGTTTTCCCTTGACATACAATATGGATACTGGTAACCTATGGAGAGATCGAATAAATGATTTTACTGCATACTAATTATCAACTATCAGTAAATTTGGTTGGACTATAACTGAATCACAGTACTCAACTTACAAATGACTCGAATATTTTAATTCGGAAAATACATGTATATTCGAAACTTGAAATAAATTGGAAATCAGACACCTGCGTTCGATGCAACGTGGAGCTCGTCAATAGATTTATCGTTTCCAAAGGAACAGTGCTACCCGGTAAAAGTGTATTTATATCAGTTAAAAAAAGTCAACATAGAGTCATTCAGATCGTAGCTGTAGATACACAAAGTTGAGTAATGCCAATCGGTATAAAATTCAGACTCACAACTCCGCTTTGATTGTAACCAACCACTTAACATTAATCAAATCACAACGTGATATCAAATAATTTGCTCTTAACACTAAAAGCGGATCGAAAAAATTCGATCAGATTCAAATACACGGCCAAGGATTTGGGTACTAATCAGCAATCAGTTAGTGAACAGAAATTCACTGATTCATTTATATGGAAAGTTCAGCTGGCACATTTTTTCAATTAGATGCCGCCGCAAGTACCAGACAGAAAACGTTCGTAATATTACAAAACGATCGCCAGATCATTTTATTGATGAACTATTTTTTAAATGAATTCATCATCATAGTGCACTTCACATGGACCATTTTATTAAAAGAAGATAACGGTAATAATAGAAATAATTTTTGTCTTACTCAGTAAAATATTGACTCGCTTCTTGATCATTCAATTCTAATCGTAGTGCTCTTAAAACAAATCGAATACAGTCACGATTCAATCCTGGTATATTCATTGATAAACTCTTCGTGATTAGAAGAAAAAAAATCAAATTAAGAAGTAAATAACAGATATAAGGGATAAAAAAACTGTGATAATTATACCACAAAGATTTAGTCAGTTATAACTAACAGAGAACCTAACACATATGTGCATCAGTTAATGTTATCTCAGCACATAGTATTGGAAAATTTACTCGAATTTCAAGTCATCTTCGACCAAGACTGTAGCATATAAATGGATTTAGTCAGTAGAAGATACAGCATAACTGTTAAACATCTATTAATCCTTTGAAAATGACTGTAACATTTTTAAGATTGATGATAACAAAAATCGACATATTTATTTGTCAGAGTTTGTATCTTTTTCTTGGTGATATTAAAAACCAAAAGTGGTTAACATCTATTAATATATGTTCATCTTGAGTGGATTGACGTGTAGATAACATGTTGGCGCATGGAACGACAAGTACTAGGTTCAAATCCCAGTGGGAACACAAACACAGATCGAAATGGGTCAAGGTGACAAGCCCTAAATAAGACGAAACATGAGTCCTAGATCCCAATAGTAACCACAATCTGAATAATGTTAGATAGATTTGGGTTGAGAAAGTGTAAAAAATCAGCTGAATTCGTATTGCCCAGTTTTAATGGTGATTCCCAACTAACCATACTAAATTATTATCCGAGATGAGGTTTTCAATTTTAAACGGAAAAAATATAACATCAAACTAGACGACATAATCTCAGCCACATAACAGTTAAGACGATACCGGGAATTCAAATAAAATATTATCAACATTTATTCATATCACTTACTAATTCAAGCAATGAAATCAGTTGATATGAACGATGTCTTAGTAAATTATAAGCTTCACAACATCTGTCAATAAAGATTTGTACACCTTGTTGTGAATGACTAGACCCATGACCTGGTGTATAACCAAATCCCGATGAATTATTTACACCATACGGTAAATTTGTTACATCTTTAGAATAGGTATTTAACACGTGTAACATATCTTGTGTCAACACGAAAGGTACACGATCTCTGTAGAAAAAAGTTGATAAATGGTAAATCATACGTCATAAGCGGAAAATAATGGTGAAGGGAAACACAAATAGGACATTTTATATAGTGGTCATTAATGCAATAATGTATAAATCAAATAACTTATTATATAATGCTAATTAATCAGTTTTGCTGAGAATGTAAAGAGATGTCGATGAAGAAGAACTAATGGATACATGTGAAAAGTGTATGAAAATAATGTTTATGAATTCACTTAACTTAATACCAAACAGGATAATTTACTAATAAAGTGATAACTCATGACATTGATATCATTTAGAAGAAACCTAATCTGTGTTTTGAAAAGGTAATCAGTTCGCTTGTTTGTTTGCTGTGATAACCAAAAGTTGATCTCGTTTTGTTGACTACAATTTACAAAGTCCTACCCTAAACCCCATATTCGTCTCCCCATGAAATGTTTTTTACTATTTAATCAACGATTTTAACACACATGGTATGGTTATGAATGTTCTTGCATTACTAAGACATTTCTTTTTATCTGAAGTTGTATTAGATTCCTAGAATTTAAATCTAATAATCATAGTTCACTGTTTTATTTATTTCTGCTCCTCATATTTAATGACCGCTCAACTTTAGTGACCACATAACAGGAAATTACGTAAGCCGTGATGTATAGCAGCGACTGAGTTAGTCAGAACTCTCACGTATATGTCATACTTTATTTAGTATAAAACAAAATTAATAGATTTATAACTCAAATAACTGTAGATTAAGTTATTGAAAATAAATTTTTACCGTTTTCATAACACTGTAGACGTTTGTAGTCATCACAAGGAGAGGAGTACACCTACAAGACATAACGTATACCCGTTTAACTGTCTGTAGCTTACACAAAGAATTTCAGTCCTATTTTTTATCGATTAGTTTAAATTAAAGTTGGTCCTGCCTTGGTACCAAGTGCAGAACTATTGTAAAGAGAAAGTATTAGATAACTGTTTCGTTCTAGTATGAGAAATATGGCATTTGATCCACGAAAGTTTCACAGATGTGTTTATTTTGCTTTATTCCATGTATCTATATTTCCATGCACATATGTCCTCCTTTCTTAAGAAGAGAAATTAGAATTAATAACTTATCTTAGAAGTATTATATCCCTTGTCTACCTAAGCATTCTTCAATGAGAGTATAAAAGAGGTGCACTGTTGCTACATATCGGATTGAGAAATTCAATCACCCAAGAATCAATTTACAATTACAAAACTAGCTCGAATCCAGTTAACTAAACCAACCGTAGGATGACACTCATCTTGAGTTTCTACACAGACATTGTAATACAAAAAAACACACTCAATAATTACACTATATCTTAAAAAAACAGAGAAATAATATGTACACATATATTTACAAACCTTTTAATACCAGCAAATGTCTGGCTATTTCCAAATACCTTAGAAAAATCAACATGAAATACATGGCCAGAATAACGTATCATAATATTGTCATTATGCCGATCACCGACACCGAGTATATACGTTGCTACACAGCATCCAGCTAATGAACGTAGAAAATTATCTAAAGCCTTTTTATAATAGAAAAAATAATAAACAATCACTAATGTAATCAATCAACATTATCATAACAGAAATTATGTCAACATGCAATGTGAAGCATAACTAAGTCGATTGATTAGAAATAGAGAAATCTATCATCATGTGGGCCGTGAACGCTCATTGTTGGGGAGTCCCGTACTAAGACGAAACGATTGTTCAGTGCTTCCAGTTTTCAATGGTGATCTGAGTTAGATCGGTTCATGATTACAATGAAATTCGTCAAACTTGATAATCTCTGGCTGACAAATAGATATTATTGTATTGATAATAAAAGAATACGTTTACGTGTCAAAAATGTGTGATACTATCTCATTAGTACTATTGTGAGTAATGAATATATTGATAAGCTGTTGTATATCCAGATCACTAGCAGTCAACTTTGTCGTCATAGAACTATTTTTAACAAAATGAAACCTGCATAAAAAACAATGCTCCTTGAACAGATCACTAGTGAACATTGAAATATGATTAGATAAACTGACTGTGTGAAAACGTTTTTTCTATAGTTCTTACTCTATAAATGCATTTGAATACTAAGCAGAGACGCTTCTGGACGTGTGATAGACAAAAGTTCTATACTATGGTTACTTTCGATAAATCTTACCAGTATAAATCCTCATATTTAGTGACAATGTAAATCATCTGATATGTATTAAATAGCAATGTTAACATAAGTAAATCATCATTATTGAGTTCATTAAATTAACTAACTCGTTTATAATCCAATTCAGTAATATTTTGTGATTGCAACCATTTCGTGATAACACCTTCTTTGAAAGGTCCAGTTAAACCACCACCTTGTTGTTGAATCTGTCGAAGTGTACTACATTCTGAAACCTGATATAAGAAATATACAGAAAACAATAGTTTATTTTTTCTGAATGCATTTAGCATAATAATCTGTAATAAAGAATGTAAAACTATGCAGATCACTAATTGATTGCATATATTTTAAACAAAATCTATGTGCAAATATGAAAATTCACCGATATTATCAATCAATATCTTATAGAGTCAACCACATAAATTACACAAACGATTATCGGCTAATAAAATTATCAGAAATTGAGGGCTATTAAACATATTAGTAAGCTCTATTATCAAACTTCTTTATCAGTTTGATCATGAGATCGAGTTTCTTTATCATAATTAGTATGATTCCTTCATATCAATGAGTTAAAGTATAATTAGCTAGATTCTTTATTCCAATCAATTCTTTAGATGATTCAACAGCCAACGAACATCTGTAAGAAGTTACTGTTCTACTTTAGACTCGAACAACATTTATGATCGTCAATTTTCTCTAGGATACTAGAGGAATTTGTGGCAAAACCAATTAAAAGTAAGCAAGATTATTTGGTAGTTTTCATTCTAGTTTAAGATATTTTAAATCTATATCCCTAAATAGGACCAAACATAGGATTCTCAAGTGGAAAGCTTGGTTATGTCTTTAATGATCGAACGGTATTACGAGTATAGTGAAACCTGTAATTCATCGATCCATGATAGACAAATTATCAAGAAGTTTCAAAATAGAAGCAGAACTTCCTAATAATATATTATCCCCTAACTAATGTTGATTAATACTATCCAAATGTTCGATTTTTACTACACTTACACTAACGATAACTGACAAGTCATTTAAAACCAGAAAACAGTGAAAAATAGATCTATTCATATCTGAGACACACTAACAGTCTGAATTGACATAATGCTCTGAATCCATTACACAATATAAAATCTAATAAAATGCTGATTGACGTACAAGTACATGATGAACAATAAATCATACAGTTAAATATAGATTCACGGATGTTAATAGTTTTGATTTAGGTAATCAAAACTAGTTCAATACAATTAGTTTCGCATATCACTCATTAATGAACCAAAGATGATATATGATGGATTTTCATCATCCAATATGGCACAAATCCATGAAGTCACTGACAAGTGGACTGAGTCATGTTCGCAGGTGTAGACTACCTGGTTGGGATCCACGAGATGATAGCAACCGATGATTAAAGACCTTAAATGACATAACTCGAAATCGTTTGCAATGACACAGGTGAATCCACTCTTTGTGTTCTCCAAAGTTATAATATTCTGAATTCTTCATGTCTCTTTTTTCCTCCTTCCAAATTTATTTCACTGGATTATACTCCTTGAATAACATCTTCGAATTAACAATTATATCTCTGTGCTAATGTGGTATGGCAACTCGAACTGATGTACGTATGAAGGAAGTTCTTCGTTGTTACTGTCTGTCAATGAACTTTATGTAGCATGTCAAAATAAAAAATCGGACAGGAGACAAAATTTACTGTTTTTGCACCTACCAATTCAATAAAACCTTTTTGTTCTTCGGTTGGCAGAATACGAAAATGAATCATGCGTAAATCTAATCCAGCATCTAACCATATTCGATCCATAAGAAAAGTCAGCTGACAGATTAAACTATCCAGGCGTAAATCATCACCAACCTTAACGAAAACACAATGAAAAAATTGTAGATAATAATAAATAAATTTAAAAATAATAACTATCAATATAGGCTTGTGGAGATTGTTGAGTTTTGAGTGAGAACATGAATCAATCAATGTTAGATCACCACGCGTAATGCTGAGGAGTTCCATACTAGGATGGAACGGCCGTCAAGTGCTTCTAGGTTTTCAATGGTGATTTAACATTGATCCACTAAAAATATCAATAAAAATAATAACGTGGACAGATTGACAAATAAAACACAATAGCTAAACATCATGATACAAGGAATAATAAAAAAGCATCCACTAGTTTTGTTTATTTGATATTGAAATAACTGGTGAATGAATACATGCACAAATTCTAGTTAATTTGATTATACTAGATTAGATATGTATCTCTCCTATCTCTTATCATAAAATGTAACACTCAATACTTCAATCTGGCTGATAAAACTGTATTGCAACCAAGGCCTAGACGGTATGAAGTTGCTTCCAACTCAGTGATGATCAGTTATAGTAAGATAAAACATAGTCTATATTTATTGACACTATCAGTGGATAACAATAATGTTGAATCAAAGGAACCGCATTACAATCGACAAAAATTATTTGGAAACCCATTTGACCCATAGCCTTCTGATGTTTACATACGACATGATATTTTCCAGATTTCGTAAGGCAAGTGTGCTAGATATGGATAAAAATTTTATACAAAACTATGAAGTAATCTAATATGCATCAGATATTGCGTGTACATTTACAAAAATGAACCTTAACACAACGAACCAATTGTAACTTCAGAAAGTAGAAGGATAAAATGAAATGTTCAGTTCAGTCAAAATTGCTAAAACTTTAAATTTAACTACTCACAAGTAGTTAAAAGATACAAATTCACAAAACAACCATGATTTATTGCTGAATGCTTATCGAAAAAATAGTTAATAATATTCATAAAATCTTTTGCAACGACTAGACACAACAGATTTTCGGAAACGTTCAGTAGATAGAATTAGCCTTTATTAAAGTAGTATTGACATCTAATAAGACATATTATCTTGAATAGAGCAAGAACAAAGAACTAGGTAGAATAACGTGAATTCATCTTATTTCATATCAGCTGCTTACAAACTACGATATTTTAAAATCGAAATAATCGTCAAGTTTACATATAACAGTAAAATTGGATATGTATCATCATGACGGAGTTATGAGTTTAGAATGTTAAAGTGTTGTAAATAAGTATAATGTATGAGAGAGGATTTTGGATCATCATACATAGTAACGAGACCATATGTTTTCAGTCTAATGTGATATCCTTGGGCCTACGACACAGATATGAGCAAACGACAACAATATATACATGCTTAATGGTCTATATTAAATTTAAGATGCAAGTCAGGTTTCTTTAGAACTTAAATACGAAAAAATTGTGTGTGATAATTCTAAAATTTATAAAACTATAAAATTATATATACATAGGTGCATCCTATGAATAATTAATCAAATAAGTAACTCTGTAAAAAACCATAAGTATCGGGGAGAATTTTTACCTTAAACATAACCATAAATGGTTCAGTACCGGCATCCAATGCATGAAATACAAGTCTCAATGGACAAGTGAATGATGTAAAGTAAGAACAAGCCTTAAAAAGAAAAGAAAACATTGAAAATGAATCAAAACTATATCTGGCTATTTCGCATTTACACATATGCATATGTATATGAATGTAGTTTTTTAAGAGGTAAAGCTTATACATTTTAGAGTGACATGTAACATAGTATAAAACTAATCGAAGAAACATTGAAAACCAAAAAAATGCATTGAACCTTTGAGATATCCTGGTTTAAAACTACTGCACACCGTACAGATAACTAAAACTAAGGACTGTCATGATATCATTGAAATGTTAGACCTAACCAGCCGGCTGGTTATACATGATGACTATGCCAAATCAATAACCATGAAATAACAAGCATATGCCAATTGTTTACAGCTAATCGATTTTACAAAAGATTTCTATGGAACTAACTGGAACACTGACGAAAGTTATGAAACAGTCGGAAGGAAAAATGAAATATATCATCATCTAACGCTGAAATGTCATAATATTATGTTTATAATAAATCTGCCGAACAAAGGATATAAAATAAGGATTGAACAATATGACTTACAGTAATGTCAAGTCTATGAGTTATTAGTCCAGGGTTATATGGCATTCTCAAACCAAGATCATATTGAGATAGTTGATATTCACTTAGAATATTATCGGCAGATTTGTTTCTTGACCATTCTGAATCTAGTTTGGAGAAATCACTGATCAACTGATCATCTGCCCAAGAATTGGATCGTAACATTGAAATGTTTTTATCTGTTGTTTCAATGTGCGATGATGATGACGATATATCATGGTAGCTTTTAGAAAGTTCAGACATAAACCGTTTTAGATGCGTATAAAGAATATTTTCACGAACTGAAGCGTTTGGTCGAGCCTGTTTGACTTTTGTTGCTGGTTGCCAAAGATACACAGGGGAAGGCATAAAGAAAAAACACAAAAATGAATGAATTCTTAATAAAACAGCAAAAATTCTACACGAAATTCAATTAACCAACTAATAGTTTCATAGAATACTCACTTAGGCCGATTACACCTCACGGAGGACCATAGGCTGTTAGTTTCTTCGTCGTGTCATATAGTTGTTCCATATTTCCTTTTCTTGCAGCTTTTTCCATGGGATAAAAAATTCTGAACCCTCAGTCTTCAAATTAACAATCAATGTCGTCCAAGGACACCGGCGAGAACCCTGTACGCTGATCGCTCGAAATAATTACACTGAATTTTGTCCAATTACAGCCTGACCTTGATTCGCTCATTTAAAAATTGAGGGTTCAGAATTTTTTATCCCATCCCCGTCGCCAATTGTTAAAACTTGTCAGTTGAATGCCACTTGTTATATCTGGTTGTCGCTGATTGTTGTGTCGGAAACTCTTATCACTTATACTCGAAACAAGGGACCTCTGCAACTCCCACGACGCAAAAGTAAGAACACAAAGACTGGTCTAAGTGAAGATTTATTAACCCCAAAACACGACGACAACCCTAGTCGAAAATACACTTATTTATGTACTGATCGTACACACACTTTGATTAAAAATTAGGATGAAATCATATTTATAAAAATACTCAGTTATAACAAATTACATATAGAGCATGGTTCATGTCAATCGAATCCAAGAATATCGTATATTATACGGAATAAAATATCATACGAGAAAAAGAAAACAAATACTACACGGAATGATCATCACATTGAATCAGAACGGAAGTAATGTTAAACAAAACTCATAATTAGTAAGTCAATCGAATTTTGACTTTTCTTTCCATCATAGCACCTCCCCTTCCTTTTTTGAAGATTCAAAGTTTAGATCCCACCTTCTTTCTATTGAATGATGTTTGATGGCCCCAGATCCATGAGATTCCCAACCCATAAGTGCTTTACTTGCTTCTTTGGACAGCATTAGATCAAATCCATGAGTGTGTGGAGCATTTTCTTCTCCGTGACAAGAATACAGCAGCATCTCTCCTGAATCTATCCTTTTCTGTCTATCTTAGACTACAATGAACCTCGCTGATTTCGAGTAATGCCAAGTTGTATCTGCTCATTTCCATATATTTGGCTGGTCCTCCAGGTCTCCCGCATTGCCCGGACATTCCATATACCTATATTAATTGTTGCTCTGGTTGTCAGAAGGGGCATCAGCCTCGTGACTCCAGAAGAATATCAGCTTTCATCATGAGACATCATAATACTTCCTTCAACTCTGAGGACAGAGTTGAAGACAGATTTTATATGATTTAAGTTGTTTATTCTGGTTAGTGTTTTTTAGGAAGATTATTTTCTATAAGATGGGGTTGCAGACTCCACGCCCAACTCTCCACCTTTAACCGGGTTTGTGACCGACAGTAGCCCTAGAAGAGCTGCATGAGGAGTAGAATAAGAGTTGGTCAATTGGACAAAAATTTAACCCACTACAGTTATCAAAAGATGTGCTTCATTAGTAGTGTTAATGACAGCAAAATAACTATTTTCCTCGCAAACTCTAGGATTTTTGTTTTATTGGAAAACTTAATAGACTAACTTCCACACTTACATATCTTTCTACATATATCTATATATTTATGTAATCTTCATAATACCGCGTTTACACTGAATATAAATATTACAATAAGTGTTCAATAACATTTCTAGCAATTAGAGTACATGAGAAACTACACCTTCAATGTCAATCAACGATTTTGATCACTAATTCAGTCCTGGAAGGCATGAAGATTAATTGATCATGATGGACAGTTATTTAAATAAACACTGTTGAAATCACATACTATTTTCAGTAATGCGTATCATATTATCAAAAAATAAACACATGACAATATGCACTAAAATGTAGAAGCCTACAATAACACAATATTTGTTTAAATCATATAATCATTTATTGGTCAGGAAAATGTGAAGATAATGCGAAGCGATGAATTGCTGGAAGTCTACTTCTTATTACGATTATCATCATTATCGAACTAAGATAAGAAAATAACAGAATATTTGGCCATAGACAATATGTAATAAAAGCAATCCGAGGAGTAAAATTATGAAAAACGGTCAAGTATAAATATTTACCAGTTACAGACAAATGATTAATCATTTCCTCTTGACGTTTCCACATAGCATGTAGTCTAGAATTTGCATTCCAATATAGAGCGGCTTGAATAAAACGAAAACGTTGTAATTTCCATTCAGATAATGGTTGAGGATGATGTAGCATTGGATAAAGATACCTTAAACATTAAAAGGAATTCCATGTCAGTGTAAATAAGACCAACAAATAACTAGTATTCCGTCGTGAAAATGAAAAAAATTCTCAAAAATAAGTTTTAACCGACTTACAAAACAACAACATAAAAATAATAATGAATAGGTGAACCCCTTCATGTTATATAAATAGATAAACACATAGACTGATCTTGTTGATATTCTTCGTTTCGCCTCCGTCATTCTGAATCACCAATTCATTAGAGACGAACCTGATCTAATAGTAGAAATAGTATAATAGTACTTCATCAAGATACAAGCATCTTAATGACTGTATCCGAATTCCGGGTATAATTAATGCAAATGAAAAGCCTTAATTAATTGTCCGCCTACAAATGCTATCTACTGATTCATATGAATGGCCAACGCTGTATGACCTCTTAATCAATAGTAATTAAGTGACTGTACATATTTTGATATATTATCTGAATAATGGCGTGATAAATACCGTAATTAACACCTACTCAATGCATAAATGTTTTGTTATATCGTTAAGACTGTGGCTATAAAACCGGCAAAAAATTTGTGAATACCTTTCAGTATATACATTATTATTATTGCTCAAATATTTCATAATACATAAGGCAAAATATGGATAGGTAAAGAAATATTGAAACAATTAGAGCATTTACTACGACTTATAGATATAAATATGAAAAGTATGACTGCTTCTGCTTATTCCGTCACATGCACCGAGAGCGTTAGGAACGGACACATTAGCCCCTTCCTAGACTAAACCTTTCTTGATTCTCGAAAACCCGACGGAAAACAGAAAATAGAAGATATGACAAAAGTTGTAGTTGACAAGTTAGTTGATGTACAGAAAATAGATGTATATGTATGGTTTTAGAAGATCCTGGTTTTCTAGTGGCTTCCATCAATGATATTAAAGTCATTGAGATATTTGGTAACTGTACAGTCAAATTTCGAAACTAAAATCAATCAATTCCTAAAGGTTTTTTTAGAATTTTTACGAAAATGTTAATTAGTCAAAGTACTTCCAAGTTTTCTCTGATTTTAAAACATTTCAAGGAATTGTAGATGACCAGTTAGTTAACCAATTCAACATGAGTATTTTAACTAGTATTGACAATGTTTAGTTATTATGAGAAAATTTGCGATATAAATGTTGACTGAATCTAGTTTATATTCAGAGATGCTTAAAAAGAATACACTTTCGTTGTGTACTTTATTCTTAACTTGTAACTTAATCCTATCATTTAATGAATTCGTTCGGTAAAACCGATAACTTAAATTCTTGGACAATCTAAAAAATTCACAATTTAAGCATTATACTTGGCTTAATCACGATTCGTTGTAACTGTATCGATGGGGTTCGTCAATTTGTCATCAGTGTACAACATATCCACCATACAGTTTACATAACGTAATAATTTATTAGTTCTTATTATTCATAACTTACCAATATAAAGAATTGGCGAATCGCATTGAAAATGCAGCTCTATATAAGAGTAAACTTACTAAACCAGAATAATCAAGGTATAAATCATGGTTTACAGCCTAAAAGGAAAAAAAATTGGAAGTATACGGAAATTATTTTGAAGAAGACATCAAACATGGACAAAAATAAGGCCACAATTTAATACATAAAAATTATAACTTCCATTGAAAAACTAACAAGTACAGTCTATGTAGTTGATAAATAGCATGAAATGTAAAGTACAGAAGTATTTTATAAAGGATAATTGTAATCATAATTTGTTTGGATCTGAAATACACTATACACCCAGCAAGATCGATGAAAGCGACACATAACTAGGCTGAATTTCAATAAAATGTCTAAAAAGAATGAATCAATGACAAAGGAATCATATTATAAACTTCAGAGCCTTAAACAGCGCTCAAGACCATGAATTTTAACAGCACAAGGTGAAGAGTTAAACAGAAGCATATGACATACTAGTAACGGTACATAGTGTCAATTTCAGGTATTGGAATTTGTACTTTAACAATTTAGACCAAAGTACACAAATTTAGTGCAAACACATCTGAAAAACCTCTTATTCAATCTTTAGCACCTAAATAAAAAATAAATGTAATCATACTTGTGGAGTGATTTCAAACAACCCAAAAACTTAATCAGTCAGACAGACTAACTGAACTGATATATCGATGTTTTTACCTTGACAGTTGTTCTTATTTTGATCGCCATGGCATTCAGTGCACCTTTTCATAGTCTCTGATAGCACTTTTTATTATAAGGAAACGTGAAAGCTTAGGAACACGTAACTTTGACAAATAACTTAATTGATTTGACTTCCACAATTCTTAAGTTTGGTATTAAGACGAACGTACAAAAGGTGAGAATAAACAAACGTTTTTGTAAGTTACATCACTGACCGATCTTATCTCGACAACAGTTGAGAATCATGTGCACATAGTTAGCGAACTTCAAAAGCTAATTCTGGAGTTCTGTAGAGAAGTCGTGATCATTAAAGTACAATCGTGTTGGTTATGAGGCAGATGGAAACTAAAAAGACTGAAAGATGTTTGAGAATCATCAAAAATTAATAAAAATTAAACATGAAAATCATTATCAGTTTAAAGATTTGAAAGTTAAGTGTTCACTATGCGAACTGAATGTCCTAGGATTGATACCGGGGGGAAGTCATTGATGCGTCATGCTGAGTCCCAGACTAAGAAGAGAATGTTGTCTAGTGCTTCTTGATTTTCAAAGGTTGATTAATTAAGATCAAGACATGATGAAAAATATTAAAATTTAACAAACCCTAAAACCCTCATGGCAAAACAAACATTCATTGGAACACAATGATAGTCAGGTATTATAGTGATAAATAAAAACTTTTTTGTTACAACCCAACCCTACATTTCGTTATTGAACAATCGAATAGTACATTACTATAACTATATAATGTAAACCATACAAACATTCTTAGTTAAATGAACGGTTGATTTCTGTCGATTCAACTAGAATATTCTTAACTTTAAATAAGAAAAAGAGGATATTCCTAGATTTCCATGTATGATACCATTCGGATTTTTTATTAATATTGGGGGAAGAATACTAGATAATCTGATTAATAAGTCACTACATATGAAACGTTAAACAATAATTTATCGTGAGTCTAGACGAATTCGACATCCAGTGAAAATGTATCCCTAGGGCTGTTTAACTTGACCACATTGAAGTTAGTCGATCGGTATAGGTGACACCGGTCGCACTCATCTACATCGTAAGTACATCCAACTATTGCAATTTATATCAACTGACAACCTAGCTATTGCAGGAATAAGTTGTATTCTAAATGAATATCAATATTCACCATAGTAAATTTTGTAATTTTCATAAAGAATGATTACCTTTCGAATAAAAAACGTAAAAGGTGTACTAGTTATTAACAATTTTTAATTTGATACAGAGCATTCTAGCATACAACATAGACCAAACGAATAAATGACCATAGGAGTTAGGTATTTGTAAATAAAATAAAGATGAACGTTATCGCAAAGACACATAGTACAATAAAATAGAGCACAATTAAAAGTACCTCAATTATTTGAGGAAGATATAAAAGAAGATTATCTGATGACAGTAATGACAATGCTCTAGTAGCCCAATGACGTATACCTTGATCTGCAACATCCGATGAAAGTAGACGTAGAATGAGACCAGGATAAGGTACTGGAGTGACTGCTAAAAGACTGAAGTAAAACAATATTAACTTGAATAAAATATCAGTTTTGCAATGAATTATAATTCGTCGTTGCGTAGCAAGGAAATGAAATGAATACCTTCAAATAGCGATTCAGTACACTAGTCAAGAAGGTGATTCGACTTATTAAGGTATTCAAAAAAATTTAAACAAGGTGGTCGAATCACTAATTGTTAGATCTAATCTCCCAGTCCTTATGGACTTAAATGAGGCAAAGATTGAAGAAGTAAAGCTTGATGAAGCATAAGCAGTTATGTACGTAAGTTATACAAAAATTAAATGTACTGCTGGATGATTGAAACGAATATGGACATTATAGTCAAGTTTGTATCAATCAGCCATAATCAACGCTTAACTGCTAAAAACGTATTTCGACTTACAAATAGAGATATCAAGTCAGGTGGGTTAATATGGTGGGAACTAAGTTACCTATGGGGTATTTACTGGAATTGTATGGCGATATACATTTTTTTCCAATTTTTGATGGTTCTCTTTATGCATAAGGTTTTCTCATGAGGAGAAAAACAGAGTTACAAGTTGATAATGATAAGAAATAAAATTGTGACTACAAGCACTAAAAATAATTCAGACCCTCGCAGTCGTATAGGCAGGTTGACAATCCAATAAATTTAGACTAAATTGCACGCTAATCGGAAGGAAAACTAGCCACATTTCATTGATTAACTGTTCATTATGAGAGAAAAATGCAATATTTAGTTGTAGAATATGATAATTTATCGATTGAAGGTTTTGGTAGTCCGACCGCTGTATTACGAATCATATTTTGAACGGTATGTAACTAGCTTTAAGATGACCAGATAAGTACCTTCATAAACCGCTAGACACAAAAGAAATTTGACTTAACGTCGAGTCCGTAGTCAACAATTATTAAGTTACAACAAATTCAGATTACCAATCTGAGAACTTCTTAATACCGATTATCCAAAGTGAAAATAAACAACTGCTTTTGAGAATACCTCAACGAAAGTAAAAATGCACAGGTAAATAATTAACAAAACATAGCCCACTGACAAGTATAAATTGAATCAAAGATTCCCAGGTATGATATATCCATATCAAAGTGAGTGGTAATGTATCGACCAAGAATCGAATATATATTAATAGTCGATTTCTAGAAAAAGTATGGTTCACATGACTACTAGGCAGTACAAACCTTATTGTTACATATTAACCATTACGATAAGTTTTGTACACCCTAACATTCAGTAAATTAAACACTGAAAAGTTCATATACATAAAAAGCAATAAACCAAACTCCAATCACCTGTATATTTCTTTCAGTAATTTCTGCCAACACCATTTATCTGTATAACTTTTTAAATTCTGTCTTGTTGCTTGTGGCCAACTAACTAGACAACTGATAACAAATGCAATCATAGCATCAGGTATATCACATATAGAATAACGTAAATTCCATAAAACTTCAATAGCGATTGCAGGTGGACATGGTAGATAACAAGCGACTGAATTGATATTACATGTTGTTAAATTATTACTAATACTATTATTACTACTATTGCAACTATTAGTGTTATTATTATTATGATTATTATTATTATTACTGGAATTAGAGTTGTTGCCAAGATGGCCACTTGATCCACTAACACTACCGCTGATACCACTGTTACAACTACTATTCCCAATCACATTTCCGTTGTACTGATTAAAAGATGAATTCATAGAATTGAGTACAGCTAAATGTAAGACAGGGATTGGGACACGTTCTTGTCGTTTAGATAGATGCACTGATGATGATGCTGCACTATAAGCCATTAAACATCCATCAACAGATTTAAATGATAATTCTGGATTTAATATTTGCATGAAAATAGCAGATTTAGCTTCATTTATCGACTGTTTTGCATTGGAACAAAGTGAATGAAACGATGAACCTTGTCTGCGAAATGAAAAAAAGAAAAAAAACTACTTCATATATGGTTTCATAAGAATTATAACATGTGTATTTCACATTTTAACGTTATTTGTTTTATAAACATGTAGGAAAACACTTTTCAAAACACGAATGAAATTAATATCATCATGTATCATTTTGGCACATGACTTGGACGCAATTTTTAAAACCTAAGAGCACCTAATAGCTCTTTCTTCTTAACTGTGCACTTTACAACAATACGCAACACCAAAAAAAACTAGATACAAGACGTACAAATTACAGTTTAAATGATATTGATAACATTGTGAACCACTGGATTCCAAGATGTTACACTTAACACAAAACCTAAGTTACTACCGTTCAGCTTTGATGTGATATATTGAATAAGCAATACTGATAAGTTACAGACTATGACGAAACAATTATCCAAAATTGCATCAACATATCATTCAGACTATAAAGAAAAGTATGCTGAATGTTGTAATTTACACAGAAAGTGTCCTTTTTCGAAGCATTTATCTATTGAAGTAGACTAACATGAGCTAGTTAAACACTGTTCTGAACTCAGACAATAATATTTGACAAATATTAGAGATCTATAACAGTAAGAATGAATTAAAAGAAAAGAAAATATCTACATATTTATCCAAAAGTATTTAAATTTATATTATGTAAATAGTTGAAAGTGAGATTTTACAGTTGTAAAGTAATAGTCTCAAAAGTATAATAAGAAAGAAGTCTATAATACATGGACGAATATAAAATATAAATTTCGAATATAATAGGATGATTTTTGTTATATATTGAAAGAAAGTACACTTTTATAGATATTAATTTTACTAAATGAATATCATTTATCTTCATTTAGTCAGTAGAGTTATAGGGATAAATGTAATCCACTAACGTGAAAATAGATTGATCAAGATACACATGAACAAGACTTACATTTCATTAGAGTTCTCCAATTCACTTTCTGATTGGATAATGACTGGGAATTCAATTTCATATTGATATTCAGGAAAACAAAGCTACAATCAAATAATAATAAATAAGCAAAGAAATACAATTATATACATTATCTACAATTTGATAGTAGATCATTAAAATACAGCTTCAAGGTAAACAGTCAAAGTCGATTGCATGTAATATGCTACTCAAGCACAGATTCCTGAGTTAATGAAATAAGAATTGATGCACTAAGTAAAAATAAAACAACACTGAAAGCATCTTACCTGTACAACTGGACATCCTGGTGAACTATTTGATTGGGACCATGTAGGCCGATATTCATGCATTAATTCAGATGGTGGCCAAAGACCAACAATGATTGTGTTTTGCTTTAATCGACCATTTATATCGAATAAAGGTAAATTCACCCAACCGATTAACGTCCCGTCAACTGTAATAGAGTTTAATTAGTTTTCTATATAATAATAACATTCAACTGGAAAACATATCAACCTGTAAAGGTATATGTCAGTTGCACAAGAGATGCTTTTTACCTAATTGTTACAGAGTCTTTAACAAAATCCTAGGAAATCGTTTACTAAAGAATTATACTAAATCTTTGAATTCATAACACTTGAACAAAACATCAGATTCATACTATAGCTTTGAAATAATTTAAAATTCTGTGGGTATTTGTATGGACTAAACAAGTGTTTAGCATGTGATTTACAGACTACTACCAGTCATCACTAATATATTTCATTAAAACAATTATAATATAGGAGAAAAAGTTACACACACCGTTTTATGAGCGCAAACCACTGAAACCAAATAATTCATGAGCATTGAGAGGAACAGACCAATCTGAAAACTAACTCGCCATAGACAGACATCAACTAAGGAAACACAAGCGGAAAATATAAAGCTATTTGAAGTTATTTCCACCTACTATTACGACGCTGGTAAACAGAGTTAATCCTCAGTCAGTCAGTCAGTCAGTAACAACGTGGAACTTCGTACGTACGTACATCAGTTCGAGTTACCATACCACCTCAACACCATGCAACACGAAAATAAAATCCTTACACCTCACCGTGAACATTCATTCAATTAATTGTAATTTGAATATCATTTACGAATTTAATCAACGTGCGATCAGTACTGGCCGGACATTTTTAAGGATAGCGGTCCAGTATTAACAGTGAGATTAACTGAGGTCTTGGGTAGAATTTGGGAACTGGACGTAATCCCATCTGACTGGTCTCAATCACTGATTGTGCCAGTCTATAAGAAAGAACAAAAGTCCTCTTCTGACAATCACAGAGGAATCAGTTTGACTAATATAGTGTCTAAAATTTTAGATTCAATAATACTTCGACGCCCGAATAAAGCTCGTGAAGAACAGACTATAGGAAACCAGACTGATTTTCGACCTGGACGTGGTTGTATAGACCAGATATTCACACTACGTCAGGCTCTAGGACATAGACACACGTTCAGACGCCCCACAATCGTAGTATTTCTCGACCTTGAGGCGGCATTTGACTCTGTTGATCGAGAGGTTCTATGGCAGTGTTTGTCACTGACTGACTGTTTCTCACTGAAAGAAGTACCAACGAAGTACATTAACCTTATACAGACTCTACTCAAACACAATTGGCCGAGTGAGAGCTTATGGAGAACTGTCATCAGAATTGATCAACTCGAGTGGTGTTCGTCAGGGCTGTCCACTCTCTCCATTCTTGTTCAACTTTGCCGTTGATGCACTTTTAAAGATAACACTCTCCTCATCTAAATTTCCAGGGGTTGGACTTCTACCGGGAGATCCACTTTCTGACCTAGAATATGCATGCCGATGATACAGTTCTATTTGGTGAAGACACTGACAAAATGCAGTCTTCTGACCAATCTAAGCAACAATGCAAGCATGTTCGGAATGCGATTCTCCCCAAGAAATGCAAAATAGCGTTTCAGGATTGGGTTGCATCGACATCCGAACTAATGATAGGGAGTGAAGTAATTGAGTGTGTCGATCGCTTCATTTACCTTGGAAGTCTCATCAGCCCTTGTAGTCTGGTGTGTGACGAAATCTCAGCACGGATACAGAAGGCTCGACTAGCTTTTACCAACTTGCGTCATTTATGGCGTAATCGAGATATCCGTCTATCAACCAAAGGACGTGTTTACTGTGTGGCAGTTCGTTCCGTCCTACTTTATGGCAGTGAAACATGGCCAGTAAGTATGGAGGATATTGGTAGGTTACTAGTATTCGATCATAGGTGTCTTCGAAACATTGCTCGTATATCCTGGGACCATCGAGTAAATAATGCAGTTGTTAGGAAACGGGTATTAGGTAAGGATGGTAAATCAACTGATGACTTATCACTACTTCATCAGTTGAGATGGCTGGGACACGTGTTACGTATGCCCAACCACCAACTGCCCCGACGTGCGATGTTTTCTGGTGTAGGAGTGGGTTGGAAGAAAGCTAGGGGCGGCCAGACCAAAACGTGGCACAAATCTATGGAGTCACTGACAAATGGACTGAGTCATGTTCGCAGGTGTAGACTACCTGGTTGGGATCCACGAGATGATAGCAACCGATGATTAAAGACCTTAAATGACATAACTCGAAATCGTTTGCAATGACACAGGTGAATCCACTCTTTGTGTTCTCCAAAGTTATAATATTCTGAATTCTTCATGTCTCTTTTTTCCTCCTTCCAAATTTATTTCACTGGATTATACTCCTTGAATACCATCTTCAAACCCTAATCTCTCCGATTACAGTTCATACTTTTACTACCTCTACCACTATGGGATTTGAATTAACAATTATATCTCTGTGCTAATGTGGTATAGCAACTCGAATTGATGTACGTACGTACGTACGTGCGAAGTTCTTCGTTGTTGCTGACTGACTGACTGACTGACTGACTGACTGACTGACTGACTGACTGACTGACTGACTGACTGACTGACTGACTGACTGACTGACTGACTGACTGACTGACTGACTGACTGACTGAGCGGACATAATATGACGTCCAAATAAAACAGACGATTGATTATGATATTATTCATCTGGTCATTTTGTAAGAAAAATATAAGGCTTTAGTATTTATTTAAAATAATCAGGGGAAATCGGCAACTCCTCGTTTTCTAATTGCGCTGATCACGTTAGGACAATTTGTATAAACATAACAAGATGAAGTGAAAGTCATTGATGTTATGAAACATAAGACAGACTCATCATTAGTGTACTCAATTTATCAGTGGCAAGTCTTCTATTTGAACGCTAGATACGGTTCCTAAACTCTTCTAGAAACCCCCAGGCTAGATCTACTCAGTGATTTGAACACGAAAGAAAAGGCGCGAAATATGGAAGAAACGTTTTATTCTAAAGATTCGTTTATGTACAGAAAGTCTAGGGTTTTTATAGTATTTTAAATGGCCTTGGCTTTCCAGAGACTTCTTGAACGCTACTAAACATAGTAAAAGTATTGTTGATCATCAACTCGACATGTGACTTTTCACTTTTTAGACGTTTCTGGTGAAAGTTCTAGCAAATGCTGATTGGATAAGATGCTTCTCAGTGTTTTCAGTCTCTTTTTTTTGGCTTTTTCGGGTTTTCTGGATCATCACCAACAATCAGTTACCCCATTAAGTGGTGACAATAAAGTAGAATTCATATCAAAAAGGGCTGTGCTTCTTCCCAGTTTGTGACACTGCAGCAACTATAACATAACCAGGAATTCTATTTACATTTCCCAGATCTCATGATAATCCCTAAACCATTGGTTTCACAAACCATTATACGTAGTTTCGCAAATGTATGATGAAAAATTTCAAGTGAATATAAAATATAAACGTGCAAATCGTATTTATTAGTTCATATCTCATCATATCAACTAACCATCAGAATTGTCCGTATTCAATTTCTTACACCAAAATAAACTAATAGCTAACATTGCTTCTCGTGGAAGTTGACTAATAGTGAAACCTATACAAATGGACAATAAAAAGAATTGCATAAGTAGTGAAAATAAATAATATTGTCCATGTATTATATATATTTGTCCATAATCAAATAATATTTAGACGCCGATTATTAATAAAAAATAAATTAGGTTTAATCAAGAATATTTTAATTGCTAGTAAAGAAAAAGACAACTGTCTACAATAAATACCATTAACACCTTAACAATTATTTAAGCTGTAATTGTGTATCAATAAGCAAATACTGGAATTCTTACATTTGAAAACATTGCCGAAACCGTATTATGAGTCAGTGTTTGATTATATAAACAATTGTAAAAAAAAAATAGAGATTCATACTATTCTAATGTTAGGAAGATACTAGATCACATTTTTAACTATCAATAACATCTGTTGCTGATTGAGTTATTCCATTGATTGACTACAATTCAATATGTAGACTCTTGGATACTAACAACGTTGTCTAGAAATTACAGAACCTTTATGAAAAACGGTGTAAAAATTGATTTCGTTTAAGTTTCCAAGTAGGAACTATTATTGAAAAGTTTCCGGTTATGACGAAACAGAAGTACTATTTGGCTGTTAATATTTTTTTAAAATCTGATAACGTTTCATGATGATGGTAAATCAGTTGATGAGGTTATGAATCTTCATCGACTGAGATGGTTGGGCCACGTGTTACGTATGCCTGAACACCGATTACCACGACGTGCAATGCTAGCCGGTGTAGGGATGGTTGGAAGAAAGTTAGGGGCGGCCAAACCAAAACGTGGCATCAGTGCCTGAAGTCACTAACTTGTAGTCCTATACTATATCCTTATTGCAATCCTCCTATATATTACCACCTCTGAATTAACTACTTTATGAATCCGGTGTTCATCTTGCTGTGCTAATGAGGTATGGCAACCTGGACCGATGCACATATGTGCCTGGTCCTACGTTGTAGCTGACTGACATGATGAAAAATATCTTCTGAGTGATTATCTCAGAGCTGAAGAACAGAACTTATGTTTCAGATATAAAACTAACGTTCGTTACTAGTCAATAATGTACAGCTAAATCGTTCATGTCATGTCATTCAATCGATTGTCAATACTGAATTTTGTAATTTAACTTGAAACACACATCAAAACTAGTATATGTATTTGATGAACGAATAAAAAGTCACAATGAAAACATCAAGGAAGATTTGAATGAAATTTTAGCGAAATAGTTATGAAAAGATAGCATAACATTTCACTATTAATATGAACTCTTTTCAAAGAAAATACAGTTACGACTATTAATAACAAATAAACAAACTCGCATGATGAACACATTGCATTATAGACAGGGTACAGTTAAACTGATTATGAGGATATATATATATATATATATATATATATATATATATATATATATGCGCGTAGTTTTATAGATAAATGGACTAATGAGTCAGGTGAAGTACACATAATGATTGGATACAAAAAATCATTAAAAATGATAGACGTAAAAATTTCCGTAAAATAACTGTTGAATAGTGAAAGTATAAAGTGAATTTAGATCATGAAAACAAACCACTAGTATCGATTTGATTAATTTAAATAAAAAAAAGATCTCGCCTAGATCACCTATGCATAAATACTGCGCAAAACAGTGTACAGTGAGGCAGAATAACGAAATCATGGATGAAATATAACTAAACACTGTTGGAATTGTATAACTTTCTAATTTTAGAGACTGTCATAAAGACTATATCACAAATTATTCATCTTGGTGTAAGCATTGTTTTAGAATTCTTCTAGCCTTCGCATGTTGTGTTAATACGAAAGTTTTTCCTTTGACGTTATCTGAAGAGGCTATGTGTTCTTAGCATTATTATTCTTCAAATAACAAGACGAAAACACACTAGAATCGATGTACGCAAATGAAAGTACAAAAGTTCCATTATATTGTATCTAGCATAAGAACAATATGATGAACAGGTTTAAAAGGCTGATCACAGCAAAAATCAATGCTTTTAAAAATGTAGATTATTTAGTGTTGTAAAGATACTTATTTTCTTACAAAAATCTACCTAATTTTTTTTAATGAATAGATATGCATCTTGTGAGGTCTACGAAGAGTGAAGGGAGTTTTTTATTGTACTAAGCGTACTACAACAAAGAGTATTAGAGTGAAGTTATCAAAGACGATCGTTCGCTCTAATATTTTTGTTCTTGAGTATTTTCCGAAGAGGTTTTGAATCGCAAAATATATAATACTGAATAAAATTATTATTATTATTATTGTTATTGTTAAAAAGCCAATTACGATTCAGGTTGACTTGTAATCCGATTGTACATTGAATGATTTTCATTTTCATTTTTAGGACATGATTTCAGCTACATACTCTTAACTTACCATACCATACTATATGTTAACTTGGAAAAAACAATGCTTTCTAACTTCTAAAAGTTGATAACTGTCAAATTATATTTTAAAAAAAACTGAAATTATTTAATATAATGATCAGCTTATTTTACAGTGAGCAAAATCTTAGGTGTGAAGTGAACGTGATTAAATGAGTCATTGTAATATTTGAAAGGTCAAAGACAGTATATTTTAGTAAACCAGTTAGGTAAGGGTCAGTTTAACAGATAGTTCATAAAGATATCGTAAATAATATCACCATCGACATCTTGACTTCGTAATTGAATTATCAGTATCTCACTTATTAGTTATAATTATAATCATAATTATGGTTAATTATAATTATAATCTATACACTTATTTTGTTTTCTATACAGATTTTATGATTATGTGAGAAATTGGAATGAAATCGATACATTCACTTACAGAGTTTTACGTAAAAGTTTTTACACATGGTCAATTCTTCGGTAAACAAAAAGTATGATATTTATTGAAACAGTTTGGTACATTAGACCAGCGAGAAATGTGATCAATGAGAATTATTTACATGTACAATCTATTGGTTAGAAATGCAGTGTTATAACCTAGGAAGTCACTGTTCCGTTGACCTAGATTCCACACCTGATAACATATCTCACGGAAGTGAGTTGACCCCCCGTCAAGTATCAAATGGATAGTATTGATATACACTTGTGCTTGACTGGAAATCTGCAAGTTTTAAGGAGAGTACTCAAATGTCTCAAATTTCTCCACTATGCTAAACAATACTTGTAGTGTCAAAGAAATTTAAGATTGGATCTCGTATCTGGTTTTCTTAAAAAAACGGTTATAGAATTATGCTTCAAAAGTTAAACATACTTGGAAATTTAAACCACTGGTCAAATTGTAAAACTTTAGGAAAACCGGATTGAATTGTCTGATAACGACCAGGATCACTGATGAAATAATCTCTAGTGCATTTATTTTGACTGTCACGTGATAAATGATTGCTAGTCCAAGAAATTTCCTTCGCGTGATTTTTATAAGGTGATGATCTATAATGATTATCATTTATATTGTCATGATGAGTAGTCAATGCACTGGGATATACCTTGCTTAGTGGTCGTCCAGCGTACACTAAACCAAGACGTACACAATAATAGCCATCTGTTCTGGAAAATATGGATATTAGAAAAGTAAATTCAACAACTGAGACTTGTCGAACAGACAATAGAATTTTATTGTAAAAAAGATAAACAATCAGCTTTCAAATAGACAGAGAATTATCTGAATAAGTGTCTTTTAATAAAAGTTATAGTCGGACAAATAAATTCTATGGTATCGAAATTATTCATCAGATGATTTATTGTGCTCATGTCATTACATCTGGCTAAAAAAATTATGTTGAATCGATGTTAAATACACAGCATCGTTACGACATTGCTTATTATTGATTGAATTGATAAAATTTACAAAATAATCCAAAAACACACAAACGTAGTGAGTCAGTCACATACGAATTAGAGTCTTATGCACGCATGCAACGAAAGAACTAGCTATAAGTCGCATTAATACAACGATAGGGAATTAATAAGATGAAAATTAGAGGAATGAATGTCATATGAAACAAATTCGGAACAAATTACTAGTTCCAAGACACGTCATGAAAACTCATAGGGGTAGAAACGAACGTTGGATTTCAATCAATTTGTCATGCGAAAACAAAAAACCAAGTAAACTCAATAGTACTTTCGAAGTAATCTGAACGATATTTATCAGGAGTGTATGCACCACAACTATCTAACGCCTTTCAAATTTTGATGTGATACTATGAACATTTATATTAACATATTCAGAAACTTTATCACTATTTCATAAAGAATGAACACATATTTCTTAGATTCAACCCTCTTTAGATACTATGCTTGACAATCTAGGAGTAAATAGATACCATTATCCAGCTACAAGTTGAAATATCATCGGTTTACGCAATTTTTTTTCGTGAAACGAACTTATCGTAAATGTAAATTCGAAAGTCGTATAACTCTGGAATTAATTGACAAACTGAGAAATGATCACCGTCACTTTGATTGATAGTGTGAATAAATATCAGACTATTTGATCAACTATAAAAGGTATTCAGTTTTTACAGCTGAACTGAATACAGTTAGTCAATTAGTATTAGAAAATCTTGTCAACCTTCTCATAAAAATTTCATCTACTGCTTTTCAGTTTACCATTTCTTTATTGATAAAAGTGATTTTAACCTGAAAAAATCCTAATCTTTAAGTGTAAAGATCTTTATACACTCCGCGTAAAATGCACCGTAAACTAACATCACGCAATTTCAGTTCAAAACATTCACATTAGTCAACTGAAAATATTCGATTAAGAGGGAACTTTATGATTACTGTAAACTAGACGACATAATTTTAAATAATCTTGATAGAATACTAATTTTTTTCCAACAGTAAATTTGCTCTAATAATGTTACCTAATTACATAATTCAGTAGTATCAAAACAAAAGACTATAATCAATATTGAATTGGTTAAACGTCATTAAAATGAACAAGCAAATAAAATAACAATCTTAAAAGATATATATTAAAATTCTCTTTAATAAAACAATTATGATGATAGGATTGAGTTGATGCACTGTTATCTTTTTAGGCTAATGACCACTGTTATCAAAGCTAAATATATCAACTTCAAAAACGAATTTCACTCTGATAGCATATATTTGAAGATTTGAAATACAATACGTGAAACTGTATCTTTAAAAGTGATTAAACAGTCAGATTTACTTCAAGATGGGCAAATTATTAAATGAATTAACATGTCATCTAAAACGTCTGAGAGGATTAAATCTTGTGACCATTGTCGTAACTGCCAAATATACTCATCACTGAAACTAGTTGAAAAAGCTTTCTACCTTTCAACAAATGAACAACTGATGAACATAATCTACGTTAGTTTGGAGATCCGAATATTACTATTAGTACAATTATATCTAGAGTGTAGCTCGAAACAATGTAAGAGAATATGCACATAATAAATTGGGTTTTTTTCTTTTTAAAATAAAGTTCATATTTAGAAAACAATTTATCTTAGGTTGATATGGCGGTATGTTAATAATTACTGCACCTTTGTACACATAAAAAGTTTAACGATTAAATAAATAACACATGATTAATAAAGTTAACACAATGACGAAAAATCGATTTTTATGCACAGAAGTTTAAATTATAAAGAAGTAGAAACAGTTAAACTCTGACGATAACCTACTCAACATAAACTGAAGAAGTTGATTAATTTGTGTGAAAATAATTTACCTTGTTGACGATGTATTAGGATTGGTTTGATTAGGAGATGATGAACTAGATAAAGATGAATTAACAGTTGTATTGTTACTGATTACATTTGAATTATAGGCTCCAATTGTTTTACGTGGTGGAGGATTGTGTATAGCGATAAGCCCAACGACTATAGCATCTAAACAATCGATGGAACTTTTCACTTCTTTTTTCTGTTCAGCTATGGAAAGAGAAATATAGTTCATAATTTACTGACGGGAAGTTCAAAACACTCGATAAGACAATTCAATCAGTTAAAATAACATACACACAGACATAAATTTACTCCCACAATAGCCAGTTGCAGATAACGATTCGTAAACTGAGTTTTGGTGTAGTTGAAACCTTGATGAAATCAAAAAATTATAAATCGCCAATAAAATTGATGTAATCAACTTGTTGAGGATGTTACAGCTCCAAAAATTACTTAACAAACGTCCCATTTTGTAGTTCTATTATAGAAATTTGAACTTCTGATTTCCGCGCCAAAAGAACACATTTTTACCTTCGATTTGTATTTTCCACCTGGAAGGACCTGAAATGTCATTGGTTCGTTTCCTCTTTTAGTAAGCCATTTTGTGATGCTTTCCAAGGGCATTACGCTGTATACAACGCAAGAAGTGTGTTTTTTCGTTCGTGCTTCCGAAATATGTATTTTTCCAGGCTGAATCTGATACCCTCTTTCTAGTTAGTAAGGCTGGAAGGCATTGAGATAGCTTAACTTGTCCTGTTGTTGTGTTCCTGAATTTCGTTCCGTTTCCCGGTCCAAGATGATATTGTAACTTCCTCAAGCATAGCACACCCGCAATTTAGACAGTTGTTATCTCGATTACAAAGGCGAAACCATTGCTTGGAAAAAGTTCTTCTTGTCTATATGAACAGATAATTGAACAAAGTAATTTACACTGAATGCGCACAATATTCTTCTTTTAATCTCGTCTTTCTGGTTGTTTATTTCCGCATAAAAAAGGAAAACTGAATCATAACAAATCCAAGTTAGACACAATCTATTTTTCAAACTCATGAATGGGTTACTCACAAAAAGTGATCAAAGAAACTTTCTTGCTGTGATAAAGGCTCATCACAATTAAAATATATTGGCTGAGAAACCAATTAATTTAGTGATGTAAGAGACAAAAATTATCAGGACACGAATGAAGCACAAATAAACAAAGTACGCAATTCGGAGATTAAATTAATTAGTGATGGCGATTAAGACCAAAACCGAAATATTGATATTCCATGGACATAACTCATATAGTAATAACTAATGTACGGCACCAATAAAGTATATTTATATCTATATCTATCTATCTATCTATCGATATATATATATATATATATATATATATATATACCTGGATCATTTATACTTATATTCCTTTCATCATATGTTTTTGATTAACCCATTGATTAGAGTTGCATGAAATTATTCATAAACTTCTTCAATCATAGCCACGTTTTGAAATGATCATGTATAATTGTTATTATTCATTTTATGGTGTGATGTGGTCGTGCATTTCTGCATATAACCTGAGTATGCTTGAAGTATAATATTCACGTAGTGAAGGCTGATTACTGTGCTCTGGACTCAACAGGTAAGGCAAAGAGATAAGCTACCGTAACGAGGGCCACTAAGGACTTAGCAGTGAATCAAGGATACTAGTGCTGGTTGTCTTCCTATTGGTTGGCTCAGGGACAAAGTCATAGAAGTCGATATTCTGATAGGTAGTTTTGTCACGTGGTGACAGATTTGCACACCTATGTGCATTCAACAAATTGGTTATAGGCAGCACAATATTCCCACATAAACGCATGCACAAAGCTACATGAGTCTATCCAAATCACACCACACACAACCAGATCGATCATATTTGAATCAGTAAAATATTCACAAGGTCAGTGGAAAGTGTGAGAACCAGGAGAGGAGTTGACATAGCTTCAGATCACCACCTTGTTGTGTCCAAGATGAAACTGAAGCTAATGAAACATTGGATAACTGGACAAACAACATTACAAATGTTCAACACGGCCTTCCTTTAAGATACTGAAAAACGCAACCATTTCAAGATTTTTGTTTATTTATTATTTGAACACATAAATATTGGTACAAGAGGGCACCAAATATATAAGCGCCACACAAAACAATGAGAGTTCGAAGAGAAAAAAAGAAGGTAAGGAGCGTAAAAAAAGAACAATAACGAACAGATTAGTGTAAGGTGGTGTAATAATAATAATAATAATAATAATAATAATAATAATAATAATAATAATAATAATAATAATGGGGGAAACAGAAAGGTACAATCAGAAGAAATATTTCAGTTAAGGAAGATACAACTGCTTTTTATGAAGAAAGTAAAAGAAGGTTACAGCAGGATCGCCACTGGCTTCTATTCTGAGCCATATCTGATAACGTCTCTAGCCACTGTGTAGCACCATCTCTCGGACCCCAACCAGGGAGTCGTGAAGGACCAACAGAAGCCAGTCCTTTGCAGCTTTCTTTCATACCACGACACCATGTCATGCACTGACCACCTCTCCGCTTTTTCCAACCAGTCCCAGAGTCGGCAAATAATGCACGACGTGGAATTCTCTGGGACGACATTCGTAGAACATGTCCAAGCCACCGAAGTCGGTGTTTCAAGATGGTGACACCAATTGATTATCATCTCTGTGCCCGAACACACGATGCCGAACCTCTGCATTACTGACATGGTGTTGCCACTGAATGTCAGCAATCCTTCGGAGACAGAGATGACCAAAAACGTCCTCAACTCGGAGAGGCCAGGTTTCACAAGCATAGAGCAAAACTGCTCTCACCGACGCGTTGTAGATCCGACCTTTTACAGCCAGACTAACATCACGAAGGCGCCAAAGGTGGCCCAGATTGGCATAAGCCGCTCTGGCTTTCACTATACGTGCATTGATCTCATCACTCACACCCCCACCAGCACTTATGCAGCTACCCAGATACACGAACTTCTCGACTACGTCTATCTGCTCACCATCCAGGGTGAGTACAGGATTAGAATCCTGCCAGTCTTGTAGAAGTACTTTGCACTTCGAAGGTGCAAAGCACATACCATACCTACGGACACTGATTGCCAACTGATTAAGTGCGGATTGCATGCCTTGGGCATTATCGCACAGTAAGACAATATCGTCCGCATACTCAAGGTCGAGAAGTCTTTCTCCAGGCAACAGATCCACACCACCATTACTTACATTCATCAGAGCTGTTTCCAGAATGTCATCGATGGCAAAGTTGAAGAGGAATGGTGAGATTGGGCAACCCTGCCTAACCCCACTGCTCGAATGGAACAATGGAGAGAGGTGGTTGTATGCCCTCACTCTGCCTGAGGTGTTTTATATAGGGCCTTTAGGATGTTAATAAACTTCTCAGGCACACCCTTCTTCAATAGACAATCCCAGAGAACAGTCCTGTCCAACGAATCGAAGGCAGCCCTGATGTCAAGAAACACTACGATTGTTGGCCTTTGATAAGTATGGCGGTGTTCTAACATTTGGCGGAGGGTGAAGATATGATCAATACATCCTCGACCAGAACGAAACCCAGCCTGCTCCTCGCGAGTCAATCTTTCTCGGGTTTTGAACAACCTACGAAGTGTGACGGAAGCCAATAGCTTGGACGCAATCGGAAGTAGACTTATCCCCCGATAGTTGTTACAGGAACGACGTGAACCCTTTTTAAAGATAGGGACAACTATCGACTCATTCCATGACGTTGGTACACTCTCTAGTTCCCAAACCTTTGTAAACAACGTCGTCAGTTCCTTAGCCAGAAAGAGCTTCCGGTAGTTACCAGATGCAGCTGCTGCTTCCAGCTCATTAGCACGCTCCGACCATCACTATTTTCGATCCTTACGCAAGCTTTGCCCAATCTCCCTACGTAACATACTTCGTTTGTGGTCAAACTCACGGTCACCCGGAGTAGACCGACGGGTCTCGATGAGTCGTAAGGAAACCTGAAGAAACCCAGTGCTTATAAGCAGGACGTTTCGCGAACCCACAACTGACTGTACCCACCATTTTCATGGCGTCATGCAATTACAACCTATGCTCATCTATACTTTTCGGTGGAATGGTAGCTAGCCTAGAAACTAGCTCGGTTCGATACTTACTAGCAACAGAAGTTGCAACCAGCTTGCTAACATCAATCCGTTGGTGGCGGTCACTTCGTTGGCCACTGAAAAGTAAGGTAAGATTGGCGCAGACCAAGGCATGATCAGAGTCCAGATAGGTACTCCAAAAGGAGCGGCAGTCTTGTACACAACCACGCCAGCGGTAGCTGATCGCGATGTGATTAATCTGAGTCCAGCCTTGAGATGCAGAAGGAGGACGCCAGGTGGTACATCGGCGATGACTGTGCCGAAAGTTAGTGTTAGCCAGAACTTGGTTGTGGTCTGTGCACAGTTGCAGTAGACGGTCCCCGCTGTCTGTCCTGTGACTAACAAGTCCCCATCGGCCACCTAAACGACTCTTTTCTGCGCCTAGACGCCAGTCCTGAGCATTCAGGTCTCCGGCTAGTACTACAATATCTGTTGAACGCACTTTCCGAAGAAGAACAGTTAACTGGTGATAGAATTCATCCTTGATTGCATCCGGGCTGCAATCTGTCGGAGCATAGGCGGAGATGACGAAAAGACATCGTTTCTCACGCCGATTTCTTCTCACTTTGATGGAACTCTCTAATCTAACAGCACACAACCGACTGTGTAATGGGAATCCAATCGATTAGTGCTGCCTCAGCTCTAGCGCTTAGTGTGACACCAACGCCAGCAAGACCAGACGAAGATGCCACAGGATCCCCGGATAAGCGCACGTAAAACAAGCTTTCGAAGCGACAGATGGAGACGAATTGTAGTACTTCCAGAGTCTTGAATACGGGTCTCGGCTAGACAGCAAACATCGATATTAAGACTTTCCAAAGATATAGCCAGCCCTATCTGTTGTCCGACCTGCATAAGTATGCGAACGTTGAAGGCAGCTAGTTTGAATGGTGCACGTGGTTTCAGAAAAACTGCCTCAGTATTCGTATTTGGTGGCAGCATACAATTTTTAACCGGGCAGTGACTCGAGAACCACCATAAGCAAGCTGCTGTATCAGTCGAAAAATAAGGATACACAGAGTGGGAATAAAAGAGAGTGAATAAATGACGTAAAAAAAAATAATAATAGTAACAATAATAATAATAATGTGAGTTGTTTGATTGTTAATCGAAGCAAGACAAGTATTTTCCATAAATATCGACATTTCATCATATTTGTGTGTGGGCTGTGATACTGGCCGGTGCCCAAACCGAAGCAGCTGAAGCTGTGATGTCAGATACAGAGGTAATTTCAAACATACACCAATTTCTATACATGAAGATTTGTAAGGAATAACAAGTGAAAGACTCAGTAGACGACCAGCATCGAGATCAACTAGCTGGATTCCGTAAGAATCGGTCGTGAACAGACAAAATCGCCTCACTACGGATCATCGCTGAACAATCAGTTGAGTGAAACTCGTCACTATACATCAACTTCCTTGATTATGAGAAAGCATTTGACAGTGTGGATAGAAGAACATTATGGAAACTTCTTCGACACTATGATGAGTACATGAGAAGATCGTCAACATCATCCGGAAATCATTTGACGGACTACAGTACGATGTCGTGCATGGAGGAAAACTGACAGATGCATTTCAAGTGAGGACTGGAGTCAGACAAGGCTGCAAACTCTCCCTCTTTCTCTTCCTTCTGGTGGTCCACTGCATTATGAGGACTTTGACATCTGAGAGAAATCACGGAATACAATGGACAGGTTGGATGCGACTAGACGATTTGGACTTCGCAGATGACCCGGCCCTTCTATCCCATACACACCAACAAATGCAGATGAAGACAACTAGTGTAGCAGTAGTGGATACGACTCACATTGAGGAAATCACCAAACTGCATCACGAGGCAAGCGCTAACTTGTAATCCTGAAGGGAAGCGGAAAAGAGGAAGACCAAAGAACACACTGAACCGAGAATCGGAAGCAGGCATGAAAAGGATGAATAGCAATTGGGAACAACTGGAGAGAATTGTTCAGGACAGAGTTTGATGTAGAACGCTGGTGGATTGTTTATACATCACCACGAGACGTAAGGAGCGTAAGTAAGTAACCTGCTAAAAGATATTCGGTGACTTTAGTTTAAGTCATAATAGATCGAATCTATTATAAAACAAGGTCATTTCAATAAGTTTGTTATGGGACATCATTATAGAGAAACAACAGAATACTAGCTTCAATACTCTCAAATGCACACATACATATACACAACTTACACTGTTGACGATCATTGAAAAATTCGCCATCAACATCATCCGTTATGAGCATAGCTTTAGGGCGTCCATTTTTGGTATGATAAAGCTGTTTATTAGTCAGATAACTAAATGATTCATTCGATACACCATTGGATAAAAATTACTATTCCCAATTAATTGAGGATTTACTGAGATATTAACTTGACGCCATATAAAAAATGCACTTAGTTGACAGAGAAGATTTTTAGTCAACGATAAAATCAAATTATGTAGCTTCTTTCTTGATTGCGGCTTTATATCACGTTTTAAATTGACTAGTGTTTTGCTTGTGTTTTTAATGGTGGACTGAAGATTGGATACAAGTGTTGGAGAAGTCTGAAATAAGAAGAAATTGAAAGGGATAAATTCGGATCAATCAACCATATAGAAATGTAAATAAAATTCCAACATAACCGTCAATCTAAAACAAAGATACTTCAAATTTGGAACAGTAAATAAATCTAGTTTCATGGCTTTTCATATAACATTACGTAATGTGTACCTTAATGTAGAGTCACAGTTCAATGACCACATTTACGTCTCAGCAATACTATTTGGTCAGCATTAATGACCAGGAAAAGAGAACAGTTTCTATTTTCACACTATAAAATGACTCCAGTTAGACCATCACCGAAAACCAATGAACTAACAGACAGCTATTTTGTCCTAGAATGTGACCTCACAGTACAATCTACAAACATTAAAACCCATAGATTTAGAAGTCAAATGCTTTTCGTGATGTACGAGAGTCTTCGATTCTATATCTGGTAAAGTCATGTATGAGCACTGTTCAAGCTTTCCTAACTACAAATGATAAGTGTCCTCTGGTTTTCACTGTTTGCCAAACTAAGGTCTATATGTGAAATAAAACCTACTGAATTCGACAATTTCCGCCAACGCCTGACCTAAAAGGAAGGAAGTAATAGTTACTAATGATAATCAGTTCGTGAATTTGTGATGTCAACTCAAATCTGTGTAAAAAATGTTTCACACATTCAGTTTCAATACTGAAATTTCCATTCGGTAATAAGGATTTTGCGACCTGCTTAAATTATTTAGTCTCTTATGATCAGAGAATACAAAGAAAACCTCAACTATCATACAAAATAGAAAATGTTGTGAAAGGAAACAGTCTTGATAAAACTTTCCGTGAAATCAGACTCAAGTTCCTTGAAAGATCTAGTAGCTATATATATAACCAGTAAAACAATAAATGCGTTATAAGTAAATTAATCAATTAACACAACATGACATGACTAGACATTAGAAAACGATGAAAACTATGATAATAGTGAATAATGTAGGTGCGAAATATTAGTTTAAAAACCAAGACAAGCAATTTCATAAATCTACCATAAAACATAAGAAATATATGTATAATGTAACAGAGTTTTTTTCAAATCTGAATAAGACAGTCTTCCAGTAAAGGTTACTGAACTGATTGAGGAATCGAGATTTCCCAGTACTTGAAAATATACTCCAACTGATGTAATATATGTTGTTGTTTTCGATGTTTCTTGGAAAAAATAGAATCTATCCAATAAGAGAACTCATAAATTTTGAAAGTGAAAATTGTATTTCTTTTTTAAGTACTTGTCCGACAATACAAGGCAGTGATATGCCTACTGTTTCATGAGTGAAACACTAAATTCGTTCATTAGACCCTTCGATCTCTACAACAATAATCCAGAACCCTAGACATGTGTATCGCCGTCTAAATTCAAACAGGAACACGAAATAGAAATTTAAAAAAGAGATAAAAGAAAAAGGACATCAAATAGAACATAAACAGAAACCAAATGCAAAATAAATACCATGTGAAGAGGGTGTAAAATGTGTAAGCTCATAAAGAACGTTGAAAATCGGACGAAGATTAGATATATTCATGCAATGGTTTACATCATTGAATTTTCAAGCAATAATTATAAATGACTCACAGACATCAACCAGAATCCATCCACTTTAGAGTATAAATACTTTATAAATTGTGTCACAAAAAATTTGAAACATTGCTTATTCTATGGTTCCGATAGAAAGTCATTATGTTATTACGTTACACATTTTGTGATGAATTGTATCAAAATATATCAACAAGAAAATTAAATGCCTTTCTTCGCTTACATAGAGTGAAATTCTGTCACAGTGGCGCAGTTGCATTGATTCTCTTCGTTCTTCTAAGTCATTAGTTAAACATCATTTGTAAATTTGCCAGATCTTCGATTAGAACTGTTTTTCTCATGTTAAGATCTACATCGTTTTTGACATTATTTAAAATAATATGCTCATCTTGGTGATTTCTTATTTCTCTCGGCTGACATGAAGCGTATACACATCGAACCAGGGCACACATGTGCTAAATCACATGTTACTAATGACTAACCGAATGACTTGGAAATTTATGTCCAAAAACAACAATCACATGGGTGCATCATACATTTACGACTAAAAGAAGCTAAGTGCATCAAACGAGAGTAACTTTTAAATTTTTAATAACTTGAAGAATCATCCTTCAATGAAGATCCAACAAATTAAAATGGACATGTACCCAATAGCCACTCAAATAATTTGCTAGTATGCGGTGTTCCAACTCATTCGTCAAGCAGTAACATGCTTTGTAGTAATACATGATGTCTGAAGATTTCACATTGAAATAAATCGATAAAATGTATTGCGGACAATTAAAAGAACAAAGATTATATCAATTTACACGGCTGGATAAAATTCAGTGACAATTAGGTCAACATAAGTTGATGATTAGAAGTATTTCCTAATAATTGACGTCTCTGAACTAATCGATTTGAACGATTACTTACCATTACATGTAAAAAGACTTCTGATATGCTCGCGTTGGATACACCAAGGCAACATGAATAATAAATGAATATACAAGCAGCATATTTTGTATGACAAATCTAATATTCTATGATTGCATAATAAAATTTGAATAGTACTCACCCTAGTCTGTTTTCGCTTATAGGATGATGAAAACCAATTTTCCTGTGTAGTATTCTGTTGACTATCGCTACGAAAGCTGTTAAAATTTTTATTATCGTGACGCTTGAAACCGGTTACTTTATTATTTAAACCAATATCATATACAATATCCATTATACACACTTGTATGTTTCCTAATGCATTGATAACATCAGAAAAAGCCATACCATAACAGACAGCTGCTAAAACAGCTTTTACTGACTGACATAAACTTGAACTGGCACAGTGAACATCTTTTAACCATGATTCACTATCCACCTAGAAATTAGTAAATAATAAGAAAATGGTAGCAAATAATTAATACATGAGGATGAAATGAGAAAATCCCCTAAAAAGCACTAATTTAGATGATTTTTCGCTTAGAGTAACGTTTTAATATTTCCTGATAGAAATAAAGAGAATCCAGCAAAGATATTTAGAGTCTCAAATCACTTTATGGTGTAATCTTATCTATTTTTCTATAGATTTATATATTTACTATACAATTATAAATACGAATGTAAATGATTCCGTCGAAAAGATTTACTTCGCTGAATTCTCTTTATCTTTGTTCAATGACACAATTGGTTATTTGTATTTCCTTAAAGATTTATGACAGAAATTAATAACAATAGGATAACTTCTAACAGTTAGAGAATAAGACACATTCACATTTTCCTACTTTGAGATTGTGGACAATCGCAACTTCCCTCCCAAAATTTACATTTACATAAGCGCTAAATTCACTATTCCCTGTTAACACTGTGCGAATAGAACTTTAAATCAGTCTATATGATAATGACCAACAATAATTCTTAGCTTTTTGTTAAATTTACCAAAAGATATCTAAACTGTTAGTCAAAAACCAGTTCTAGTTGTACATAAGGGGTTGATATGCAAACACTTATCGAAAAGTTCATTTGGAAATTTAATTTGAAAAGTTAAATAAGCATTCTAAGATGTTCATAACGTGTAGCTTAGTAAAACAAAATCAATGCTACATTATGAACTAAACAGAGTTAACAAGATTAACAAAGTCAACTTGCACAAAAAAGCTATCACAATCAGACATGATCAGGTGATTGAGTTGAAAAAACGGTTGAACAGAACATGATCTTTGGATTTATGATAAAGTATGGAATTTCATCATTCCGATTACAATCGTTGCAACTACTTATTAAGTCCTACTGACCGCATATGTAAGCTTCAAAATTTGTTTTGAATAACTGTTTAAGAGAGCCAACTACTTCTTATCAACACCAAATATGTTTAATCTATAAAAAAGGAGGCATTCGTTTACCTAATAATGAACTGTGCAAGGTCTTTTTGTTCATGTAAAAACTCAATGAAACAACTTATATTAAATAACAGGGACATTGTTAGCATCATAGCAATGATAATTCCAAAACATTAAATATTTCAATCTGATTATGGCGCCTAATACAACTAATGACAAAATTGATTAAGTGAATTGAACATTATACAAAACAAAGTTATTGAATCACGTACATAAACTGTGTTATATACACAAACTGCCATTTAACAAAAAAATCTGATGCATAATGCACACATTATACACCTTACTTAAAATTGAATATTCAACTTTTAAAATTAAGGTGTTTTACGAAGAGAATTTCGAGATAAGTTCTATGTAAGGTGATTATTTTCGTGATGAATATGAATGAAACTGTGTATCAAGGTTTATTTGTAAACATTCTATGATAGAAAAATCAAATTGGAATCTGTAAAATTACTTAGACAAACAATTGAATAAGTTGTTGATTTGCCAATATTATTACTATTATAAGTGTTTTCTAAACATTGCCAGAGCATCGTTGATCGACTGAATGGGCAATACATAGGTTAGCCATAAAACGCTAGGTAAAGATAGTAAATAGGTCGGTGAGGTTGTAAATCTTTATTCAATGAATTGAGACTGCTAGCAAGTCATAGTAATCAACAGTTTAGTTTAGACTCCCAAACTATGTGAACTACAGTTTTGAATATTGCGAAAATATCTGTTACTAGTTTTAAAGAATTATATGACTATTAGGTTTCGAATCCTTCTTCAAATAGCTTCAAAATATTTTTTAATATAAGTGATCAATTGATTACTTTATCCGAAGAATATATATGGTAAGGCTATTGAATTTAATCTAAGAAAACGTGATATTTCATATTACATGATAGTTTAAAAAATAGAAAAAAGCACGTTATCAGTTAGTAATTAGCATAAATATTCCAATACCCATAAAATCATTAGATCATTACTGTTTTAAAAATGTTTATAATACAGAGAAAATTCTTATCAATATAGTCATTTTTCAATGATAACAATATTATTAAAAGCTGGTATGAATTATTATTATTATTATTGTAATCACTATTATTATGTTAAGAAATTAATGAAGCGTCACACTGAATGGTACTTTTAGACTACGTGTTTGTTCTTGCTGAAAATAATGCAAAATCTACAAAGCATTAATTGTAAGTAGTTTATGAAAAGAAAACTACATGATTGAAAAACAAGTGGAATTACTTGTGCATAATTTTCAACAATACATGATCGAAACTTTTCCAGCGCATTTTGAAATACGCTATAACTGATGAATATATCTTCTCTGAAAGTAAACATTAAAATAAAACATCCAAAAACGTTAGAACAACCGTAGCAAAGGGATTATATGAACAAACAATACCTATGGGATAATAAAAACAACAAATTTCAACTAAATGTTAGTTCATTTTTTTATCTTAATGTATGATAATGATGAGTGCGATATCAACGGCCTTGAACTCAAATGAATATTTTCGAGGGGCATTTGAACAGTCATAAATTAATAGAAGCTGTAGAAGAGCCAATATGACTTAAAGTTTAGAAAAGAAATCTTCTATTGTACATCGGGTCTACATCTATACAAGTGTACAGATATCTATGTTATTAGGAATCCAACATAAAGAATTTACGAAAAGTCTGAGTTACGGTGTGTGGTTTCTTATAGAAGCCTAAACAAGCAACATTTTTTTGTGATTATTCATAGACAAACTTAAACTTCCTTTGTTGAATTGTATAGTCAAGAAGAATGGAATGTTCATTATATGCATGTATAGAAAACATAATAAGACAACATAGTAAGTTTGATATTTGTTAACTAATCTTTCCACCAATTCAGATTTATTAGACAATGTATTTGAATCCACTTATAGACTGAATAAATAAGAATTATATGACAATTAATACAGCAACTTCGTATCACACAAAACTGAAGTGATGGCCCAGAAATTAAGAACTAAACTAGTTCTTATTTCATACGCATAGTTTCCTTTATTACCTTAAAGAAAGGAAGAACGAAGATTGGTGCAGAATAATATGAATTCATTTTATTTCGTTAGGTTCTCAGCTGTTAACAACCCAAAATATTTAAAAGTCAACATTATTACAGATATTGACATACTTATACATACGAGAGTGATTAAAGATGAATATATGTATCATGATGTAGCGAAGATTTCAATAGAGTTAGTATGTTCGTAAAAACATTTGTTTCGGATAAATAAAGTTTGGGAGGGGAAGTTTCAGAACATTGAAATAGTGATTAGAACTTATGAAGTTTACAAACATTAGATGATTGTGTAATGAAGCAACTGAAAATAGACTAATAGTAATGAAGAAAGATATGAAATGGAATCAGTTAGTTTTATTCAACTTAAATTCAAAGATGATGATGTAACAGGGTCAATCAATATGGAACTAAAAACTGTAATGACAAGAACTTATCCTGCAGCTAAACTGATTGTCCTGTCCAAAACAGCATGTTCTTTAACACAATCAAAGGTCGATGGGTATCCATTTCATGTTACCATCAACTGTGTAAACAAATTTACATGTATCTGCCAAAGCAGTTACATTGGTAGAACAGAAAAGAGAGCCTACGCCCGATTCAAAGAATATATTCCGAAACGTTTAAGATCAAATGAATTAATAGCATTCATCAGAGCCATCGCAAGACATCTTGACACAGGACATGGAGTCGATATACCGAAGTCCTTCAAGGTGATTAAAAACAATCAAACTCCAACTTTTTGAAATTTGCCAAAGCGATAGCAATCAAACGTCTAAAACCAGATCTATGTATCCAAAAAGAGACAATAATAAATCTTTCTTTGACCTGGCAACATTAACCCCCTTTTTTCTTATTTATTAGATCATTCATTATTTCAACATTTTCTGCAGTTTAAATTACATCATTGTCATTTTTCTTCAATTAGTAACTGACTGATTTCAATTCATATCTTTCTTTATTACTATTAGTCTATTTTCAGTTGCTTCATTACACAATCATCTGATGTTTGTAAACTTCATAAGTTCTAATCACTATTTCAATGTTCTGAAACTTCCCCTCCCAAACTTTATTTATCCGAAACAAATGTTTTTACGAACATATTAACTCTATTGAAATCTTCGCTACATCATGATACATATATTCATCTTTAATCACTCTCGTATGTATAAGTATGTCAATATCTGTAATAATGTTGACTTTTAAATATTTTGGGTTGTTAACAGCTGAGAACCTAACGAAATAAAATGAATTCATATTATTCTGCACCAATCTTCGTTCTTGCTCACAGTTCTGATTGTCAACATGAAAAAAGTTTGAGCCTGCAGACAGGGTTTAACTAAAAGACTATTGTCAAATGACTATTGAGAAGTGAAAGATAGGAAAATCCCCTGTTTATACTTACTCAGTAGGTGTTGGTCGATTATTTGTGAAGAAATTCTGAGGAATGAATTGTTCATTAGTACTGAGAGTCTAGCATAAAAAGGATTAAAGTATAATTCTCAGAATATATAGGAATAAATAAATAAGTACAATGGTATTAAAAAAACTAAGAATACCTACTTCTACTCTTCATTGACCTACATCAACTACGAGCTAACGAATACGTTAACCAGATTGAGTGCAAAGTAGTATATGATGATCTTAAGATTCCTTTCAAAATCTTAACATATATATATATATACTTCAAGGACCCATCAGCCGGAAATCGTACACAGGACCTTCATCTTCACGCGGGAACGATTAACCTTTGAACCATTGGGGTAAGTTTCAATGGTATACACGTCTAGCTTCAGTTAATCCGTTATATAGCTCGGCTATATTTCATTGTCTTCAGTGGGTACTTCAGACCTGGTACGGCTGAAGCCGCAGTCAGCAGAGTTCAACCGGAGACAATTGAAAAGTTAAACAATATCGAGCACCGATTGAAGCTAAACTTAGATACTATAGGATTCCGGCTCATTGGTTTAAAGATAAAACATTCGCGCGCAAAACAGGCCCTTGGGTTCGATCCCCACGGGTGGGTACTTGGATAGACACTGATAAGGAGTCCGATACTAGGACGAAACAGCTGTCCATCGCTTCCAGGTTCTTGGTGGTTGTCTGACTTAGATCTATCCGTGATTTCAATGAAAATAGAGATACTATATTTGAATAGCAATTAATGTAAAATAATGATTATTACTAATTCTACGAAAACAGTATAATTTTCGTGAATGTTCATTGGTTATCCATTACTAAATAATGAACAATCAGGTAATAACTATGAGCAAAACATATTTATAGATTGTTTAAAAACATAATTTTATACATAAAATTCAATAGTATTTAATAGTTGACAGGAAGTAGGAAATAATGAACATACACAAATGAATAAAATCGAAAGTGTTGATATACACTCATTCAATACTGAATAATAGATATTTAGTGTCATTTAATTTGATAAAATTGATTGAAATCCGTTGATTGTTTATGCGATCTGACCTGAGGTTTACAACTCAATAGCCCGCAAGTTATTTACACCATCTAATGTGACAAAACTATGAACACAATGTGCCTATCATAAACCATACGGTAATATAGCCCATAGACTAAGTACACCAACATCAGTGAGATACTTAAGTTGCATATCATTTATGTTTGGCGTTCATCAAGGTTACTTACGACTGAATAATAAGCTGTTTGAAAAAAGGACCAATTCGAGAAGTTATAACTAAAAAGGTAGGAGGTTGGTATTCTAAAACTCATATTTTCTTAAATAATATTTTTATTTATTAACGGTTGAATTTACTTGATAAATTATGTCCTAAATGTAAATTTGTGAAGCGAAGCTGAAGACGACCGACCTACAATCGCGAACTCAGCCAAGAAATAAAATATCTATGGCAAACCTCGCATAACAGCTGGCTGTTATTTTCTAGTTCCTAATGATTTCTTGGTTAATAGTTGTTGAAAACTCTCATTTAAATTTAAAAAAATATCTCGAGTAAACCATTAAAACAAGAACTGAAAAACAATATATATTACAAATATGTGTTTGTTTGTGTTTACCATGGAAGTATTTAAAGTTCGTATTACAAAACCATATGACATTCGATAGGAGAATACTACCGACTAAAAGATACTAAAGACATTTTATATTACTGTTTAATCTGATTAAAATTGTTTGAAGATAGTGGGAATAATCAGTAAATTTATAACCTATTAGTTCATGAACACACGTCATATTATTAAACTCAACATTATTACTTATTAAATGAACAAATTGGACAAATACTTATGATGCTATTTGTTTTAACTTGTACAATAAATTTGAAGTGAAATGAATGGGTTTGGTAGACAATAATATTTTATAAAAAAACATTTACGTACTTTTTCTATATATGGTTGATCAACGTCTTTTGGTTCTAAAATTAATCTCAGTGGTTGATCCAATCGATGACAGAGCTGAACCTGATAACAATCACATAAACGAGCATCTCTAAGGATAATCACAAAGGAAAAGAATAGATTAAGGGTGAACAGAAAGCAAAAACAATAACAGTTTGAGGTTAAGTAAAATGAAATATAGGATTATATATTATTACGCATCGGATTTTTAGGAAAAATTGGTAACATAGAGTATATCAAAGTTTGTAGCTTGAAAACAAACGAAATCGACGTATACAACAAAAATAGATTATTCATAAGGGCAGTATAGAACCTGACACATTTTTGAACAGTACAAAGGTCCCATCTAGTTGAGACCGATTGTGTGTCATATTATAAACAATATTTCAAAAGACAGGTCATGATTATCGTGCGAACCCCAACCAGGTAGTCTGCATCTAACAACATGGCATAGATCAATTATCAATGACTTCATGAACGAGTGGCCATCCTTAGTATTTTTACAACCTACACCCAAATAAGCCAACATAGCGCGTCAAGGTAGGTGGTGGTTGGTGACACGTAATACATAAACTTAACTACCTCAATCAGGATAACAACAAAAACTATCTCACACGAACGTGTAGTTAAGTTGTATATGCGAAACGTAATGAAAATGTACCTGATACAAGTAGTTTTCTGCTTACCTAGAAGGAAACACTGATTCACTGTTATATACGGATAAAGTAATTTCAACTCTGAATAGAACAGAGAATACTGTTGCTTATTTCACTGTTTCTAACCAATAGGTCACTGGGTCGATCAATGTTACACTTTCTTCCATTTAGGCAAACCTTAAGCGATCGAAATGAAGCTCAGAACCGAATACGTACGCCTGCATTTTATGAGAATATTCAGCTCAAATTTCCTAATCAGTATTAAAGGTTTGTCCGGCATTTTGATCTTCTGATCACCATAAAACTACATTTAAATGTACGGCTTGTATTTTCGAACTTTTTAGTGAACGAGCTTTATTTCATAGTGTTATATCCGAGCGAAGATTAAATCACGAGTAACCTCTGAGATATATTAATTGACTAATATTATCTATACATTCTTATGGTATAACTATTCAATAATTAGATTATGTATATTTATATTCCTCTTATTATAAGCTTTATTTTGACCTATAATTTATTATTGTACGATTTACGGTTCTTAAGCTATGTTCAGTTTACTAACTACTGCCCCCCCCATTCACAGTCACTTTTTGGCTTTATTGTGTACAAATGTTATTTCCTATTTTATAGTGCATTGCGGTCTGTTTGATTGATATATAAACCCAGTATGTCTGAAATAAATGATTCGATTCGCATATTGGAGGCTGGTATTGGTGTTCTGAACTCAAGTGGACGGGGTTAGGCGGAAATAGGACCAATAAGGACTCTAGGCTGCTCATACCGGTCGAACGTCATTGGTTTGGCACAGTGCTAAGATTGTACAAGTCGTATTTTGATTGGTGGATAAATCACGTGATAAAAGCCGGACATAAAAACATAAGAGATAGTTCAACTGTTATTACAACCATCCAATTAGAAAGAAGAAATATCTACTCTATGGAAATATCAGACATTTAATCAGTTTATGATACTACACATCCAACGTCCAGTGTTATTATTGATGGGTCATGACTTAAACCCGGTATAGATGAACTCCACTAATTACAGTTTCTCACTAGAATTCGCGGGATTAATTATTTAAAGTAGCCAGTACTGAGAATACGATTATCACTAGGATAAGAGATTTGTGGAGGTCATTTAATTTAATTTTTACTTCACAGACTGGTATGACTAAAACAAAACAGCCATCCAGTCCTTCAGAAACCTAAATTACGTAACAGCAGGTTTTTAATTTAGTACACTTTGTTCAACAACTACTAAGTATTATTTAAATAAACACCAATAAAACAAAAGACATTTGCAGGTAGAAACTAGAAGTTACAAAATGAACATATTTCTGTTTTTAGTAAATCTCTAACAGAACATTTAGTTAAAATATCACAAAATATTTTCAGCAAATCAATTTACATTACAGAGCCATTATAAATTACCGAACGACAAAACGTATTCAAAAACAGAATATCCAAGTTAATATGTAAGTTTTAGAGAGCAAACCATAAGGCAAATAAATTTCACTGAACTACAGGTTTCAAAGAATGTTTATCTTTCCAAAATATGTTGATTTATAGATGAGAAGAATAAAAGTAGTTTCATATTTTTGCTAACAATCATCAATCATATTTCTTTATATGTCGTTTTAACGGCAAGGATATCTGATAGTTGAGACTGGAAACCATCACAATTTCTAAGATGGTAATAGGGACAAGAAAACATGCAAATGAGGATTTACTTTATCCTCCCAAAAATGCTGACAATTGTTGTGACAGTGGATAATAAGTACTAACTACTGGAATACACGATTCACACGACAAGAGTGAGGACATGAAAATATTAAACGGGAATTTACTTGACACCCAAAATAAATGTCAGAATACACTAACTTTTATCTGATTTTATCCATAGTGTTCAGCAGTTAAATTAATGTAAACTATACTGAGTAATACTTGACACGAACTAATCAATAACTTACTGTATAAATACAAATTTACAATATCATAAAATTAATGTTCCTTGTCAAAGTGTGGTTAAATGTTATTAAAGATTGGTAAAAAAAAAGTCAGTTTCTTATGTCACTCACACTACAATCAATTACATTCTAGGTCATCGCCGGTATTACTGGTATTACTACTTCGATTTCATAACAAAATTAATTTGTAAAAAAGGAAAAAGCATCTTACGGACGTAATAGTTCAGCTCTTCCTTGAAGACGTAATTGAAAATGATTGACATCCAGAACAATTTCTTGTGGAATCAAATCGTTAGCAAGTGCTTCCAACATAAGTTCATTGACTAATGTGGATGTAGCTAAAAAAAATTCAATAAAAGTATTAAAAAAATACAGAACAGAAAAGAAAAACTTTTAATTATCATTAATATAAACAGTAAGTACTAATTGTTACTAAATTGGTCCGAATATTATTAAATCAATAATGATGATATTTAGTTTGATTTATCTAGCGAAAAATAAAATAAAAACTCAGCATTCTTCATTCATTTAATTTGAATGACGAAAAAAAAAACGGTTAACACATTTAACATGTTGGTCAAGTTCAATGTCATTAATAAATGACTGATTAACTAACTTATTAACTGAATGAATCTTAAAACGATGTAACATAATGAATTATAGTCTAGTGGTTTAAGCACTCGATTTATAACCACTGAATTACTAATTCGAAGTCACAATTCGTGTACTTTAGTTAAAGTAGTTGGGTAGTATTACCACAATGTTACGTAAAAAGTTTGATTCGAAACCGAGTACATATATTTGCAACAGAAAAATAGATTACATTACCTATTTAGTTTAGTTGTGCATTAAAATCAGTCTAATTTAACCTATAATTCAAAGTCATATAAATGGTGCATGTAGATATCAATAACCGAAATGAATCAGTTGTCATTAATAGTTAATTTACGTAAGAGAAATAAAGTGATACCAGTAATTCATCACATTGTGTTGTAATTGGCATCACGTACTGACTGCAGTTAGACAACTACTGAAAGCCAGTAGCATTGAACAAGCTTGAGAACCCTGAGGTCGGGAGGTGTACTTTGAGAAATGATTGATGGCGACGAAACAAATCCCCTATAGCTCATGAATTAATACGTCCAATAAACACAAAAGACGTAAAATCATATAGAATGTACTATGTGTAATCACTTTCACTGAGATATTATACAAAAAAAACCAGCCAATAGAAATTACTTACGATCACAACTAAACGTAACCGAGGGTTGACTGGAGAATTAGTCGTAGTTTCTGAATTGACTGAATTTGAATTATTTGTAGTGAAACTTTGATATGACTTTTTTCTAGTATTTAAATGCGCTGTAATGCGTACTTCTAATTGAGGAATACACCAACGTGGTGTATTAGTCCAATGAGCAGGAGTGTTATTTTGAGAACCGAAATATTCTTTACATTTAGGATATATATATGATACATTAGAGGCGGCAGTTTCTGTCTTCCATAACGGATTCATCTGTTGATATCCAGTTGAATTAGAAGTTAACGAAAGTAAATTAATGCTTGTGTGCGAATTTTTTAACATTACATTTGTAACAGAATCACTGTAGACACAATCATATGCCCAAGTGTCTGGAGGTGAATATACAGATGCGGAATTGTTTTCATTTTGTTTAGAATCACTATCAAGATCACTGATCAATGTAGACGTATTTGGCTTATTATACTTTTGCCGTCGCAGGCTACAAAAGACATCAAGAAAAAATAAAATAACTAAGAAAACTCCGAATCACTAATTGCTTTTGTAAAAACAAAATTAAAAGTTTGAGAATCTAATAAGAAAATCAACATGTTTATGAGTATACTGTAATATTTAAATTATGCACTTTTTTTCCTGTTACTGATAAACAGTTTAAGTGGAAAAAATTTAGTAAGAATACTGGATAATCAGTTGGTTGAAAAACAGAATCGAGCCTAGTAAAAATATTCATTGGACTAAGTTGCTATATAACATTATCACAGTGAGATGACATTAACAAAATGGATAGCAAACGAGTCGAAGTAATTGTCTTAGCAATGACAGTAAAAAAGCAGGAACTTAGGATCGAAAGAGTGAATACATCTGGGCTACCTACAGCCTATCTTGAGTGATGTGAATCAACGCCTCCGACCACAGGCGATAGTCACAGCGCAGACCCCGTCCACGTAGTCTGCATCTACCAACGAGACTTAGCCTACGATTCAATGGCCTCATGTACTAATGCCACGTCTTGGTTTGGCCATTTCTAGCTTTCTTCCAACAAATACTACACGTCGAGGTAAGCAGTGGTTGATCGGACACTAGCATTCAGTGATGCACTTGTATATTCCATTAACCAGCAAAATACGTTTTGATGACAATGTTAGTTAGGTTAACAAAGATACACATTCCCCATTAAACCAATAAAAGCAAGGAATTAAAAAAATGTTTCATTCAAAATACGTATCAACGGCATTTCTTATCATTATGTCAAGTCCTTAGTGTTGATCGGACTCGATCAATCAAGTTGCGAAGTACCCACTAGTTTAATTGACTCAATCGATAGGACCCGATCACCACCAAGAAGAAATGACCATAAACAATGTTAGTCACTATTCAGTGATCAATTATATATATATAATGAATGATTTGCATTTTTCTTCAATTTTTTGATGAATAAGCTCCAATTCACCTATAATATCTAAAGATAATCCATTGACCCTAATGAAATATAGACAAGTGACCAAATGGAATATTAAAATATGTTATCGAAAAAGAAACAAAATTATTAATAATATATACGGTTCAGCAGAAAAGTTTTAAACGACAAGCTCAATCCAAGAATGTTTGTTGAAATCGACAACATATTTTACACTGAGCTAAGTGAATTGACGGATTAGAATGTATAACAAAATCATATAAAGAAATAATTACAACTTGAATAAATCAGTGATATTAATTTCAATTGATAAAATGAATGTATCTAAGATGGTATAATTTATTTATGGTTGAAAATACTTCATTCTCATGGGTACAATTGAAAACACAACAGAAAACTAAAACAACCCGTTAGTGAACTGCAAATACAGTACGATACCCAGTTATCTAGAGCTTGGTAATCACATTGGTAAGTCAAAGAGGCAGAATATGGTCAGTACCAAAGACTATTTAATAATAAGTACCATGTGGATGAATAATAAATAAAATGTACCCCAAACATTTCAGACAACACAATATAAACATCTCATTTACTCGTACAATAACCTCGAACAAAAATTAGCAATAGACTTTAGTGTTAATCATGTGGTGGATTTTATTGTGCAATGACCAAATATTTGATATTTTAAAACTTTGTATCTGATGGAATAATATTATGCATTACTAAGTGAAACATATGAATTTAAAAATTATTCCGCTAAAATTTATCGTCCAAAACATAAAACCACAGATTCATAGAACACCTATTCCAGAAAACACTTACAAAGGTATTTACTAGGATTATAAAATTTTTGTTCATTGAACTTTAGAAGAGTACTTCGCCTTAATGACATAAACATACTGAGTTATGAACCTACTTAAACAGTGGAAATTAATAAACAAATTTTTTATTTGTTGGTATAAACAATAATTTATTGACGGATAGGCCCACAGTCTTATGAAGAATACTGTCTACAGTATGCTTTACAAATTCCAAAATTCATCGTTAAAATTGTAGAAACAATTACCACGAGAAAACACTATACGCTTTTTACAGGAGACACTGTAGTATGGAATTTTTTGACAATTACTACTGCATGGCTGTAAAAAAAAACATATTGATTGAGTAATTTGGAAACTATTATGAACGAAATAAAAAGTAATCGATATTCATTGCACAACTAGTTAGTTATTCATTAGAAAACTTTCTCTAACAATATTCACGCTTAGATTATACGGGAAAAACAATATAAATATTAAATTCAATACAAATTAAAATAACAATAGATTTAATGAATGTTAGTAGCTAAGCGAAAAATCAATAATTAATGTAACTTAATGAAAATACTAAATTAAAAAATTCACTAATCCGCATAACTAATACAATTGCTACTATTCAATTTGAACTATTTACCTAAAATTTAAAGAAATATCTAAACATTGTACAGTCAGAAACTGATGTATATTAAAGTACAGTATTAATTTTATACGAGTATAATTATATAAAAAGATAAAAATAATGCTGGTCAACCACTCATTCATGAATAAACATGTGATGTATACAGAGTATTCAAATCGTTGATTTGATTATTGGTAGAGCTGTAGTCTTGAGTCTTATCTTGAACAGAGATGAACCGAAAGTATGTATAAGTTGATTAGTAACTTCTTTGATAACAGAAAACTTAAAAAAGAAAAATCAGAAAACGAAATTTCATTCTTGAATGTTTTGATTGATAGGACAAAGATAGGAACACAAGAAACAGAAAGCTAAGCCGAACAGATCAAACACTGAAGTATAACAGTAACGTCCTAAAAACACACAGGAAAAGTTGCGTACGGAGAGTATCCTGAAAACCAAAACCTCGCTCATTACACAAAAATATTGTAGAAATCCATTTTATACCTTTCTTGTATGAGAATAGATACCCCAGCAACCTTACTAAAAGGTGTATAGAAAATCGATACACTACCCAAGACAACAATCATCATGAATTCCGTTGAAAAATTCTGAACCGAGGGAATCCTAAGAACGCCGAAGAATTTTCAGAAGTACAGTTTTTAAACAATAAGTAATCAATAAATCCAGGTTGCATACTCACACAGAAAAGGCCAATCCCTCACATGACCAGAAATCGACGGGAGAAGATGGTCAACAGGAATTCAAGATCAAATGATGAAATAGACCTACAAAAACAATCAATCACTAAAATTCATCAGGATGGGTTGATTTGATATTTGTTGGATAACTGAATGGCTTACTTTTACATGGAGTAGACGCTGATGATGCTGTCTAGAATGACAGTAGAAGCTTCGAATCTAACAAAAAAAACACCAACATACGTATCTGTCTGAGCTCCAAATTAACTCCATTATAGACAGAAAGCAAGTAAAAATACACTGGAAATTTAAAAATATAAAGGTGTGCTTCAGTTTTCTTATATCTTTGCAACAAACAAATTCTTAGTCACAGTTGACTTCATTTGCATAATCTGATAAAGTTTACTCTTTGATTAAAACCCCAGTACCATGTGTATATTAGAAGGTCATATAAGGGTGGCAAGCACAACATACTACATGGTCACCCGAATTTATGGACTTGCATTCATCTCATAGTTTTTGTAACTTTGCCATAATTTGTTACACTACGTGGTTAAAATTATTTAAAATTAATCAATCATATTATTCGAATTATCACTGGAAATATCACTCTGACCACTTCAACCAATCCTATGCAAACTGAAGGATGAAACGACAAAAAAAGAAAAGCTAAACGTCGTCTACGTAATAAACTGTGCAAGAAACACTGCAACTTCGTCTGCATGAATACCACGATGTAGTTCCGCTAATATCAACGCACGTGTACAATTATGGACACATGTTCAACCGGGAAAATGTTGAGATTTTGAATAGAGAGAATAAAAGAAACACCACAGCTTGGTACTCAGCTCAATCACTGACCAATAAACTAATCGAAATCGATCCAAGTTAGCAGTCAATCAGAAATTTTATAAACAAAAGTAGGATAAAGAAACAAGTCAAGGAAGGAGACAATCAAAATAAATATGCAGACAACGACTGGTCAAAGGTCAAAAACAACCAATCAAGATCAAGGTCGACAGCACAAGCTTTCTATCATATATAAGGGAACTCAAGCACTTCACTTCTACCTGGAGTTCGTGCTGATGATATTGTTCATAATAATGAAAACCTTACGATCAAACCATACAACTTAGGGAACGAAACTCCACCATCTCAATATATTTTCTCTGATGATTCATAGAGAATGAGCAAGTGCCTACATGATTAACTTATCCCCCATAAATGTTTCTTTAAAGTACTTCAAGCAATATGGTAAACAAAGTCCCAATATCATTTTGCAACGAAACCCTTATTGTACAACATACAACATATTAAGTGATTACTTGTTTACCTAGTTTTACAAAAGGACTGGGAAGATATTCTTGCATAAAAACGGTTACTATAGTAATCGACCTAATTACGGAACCATTGTGATCGATGTTCTAATCTGAAAAACTATATTAGTAGTAGCAGTAGTAGTGAAGACAGAAGAGCTGAAAACTCAGATAAGAAATATTTGAATTCAAATAATAAACACTAAGATAGTAGACCTACATTTTAAACATTCTTAGTGTAACCAAACATACAATAGACCTACTATTTATTCTGTATCATTCATATACAATTGAAATAAAATATACCGCACATAGAATTTTCATGTGAGTAAACAAAATCTATCGATGCTTTCCCTTTGTTCGAACTATTTAGTCTGATTGTTTATCGATCTGAAAAATGATTGACTGAAAAAAATTAAATAAGTTTGACATAGTCAGATAACCTACTCAACTCAATTACATAGCAAGAATGATAGGAACTCATAGTACAGATATGGATGCTTACAACTTTTGTCTAAAACAGTCTACATTCAATACGAATCCTGACAGAGTTCAGAGAGTCTTAGTCAATCGTACTGAATACGTTTTTATGGAGCATTTTTGACAAAGAAATGTATTGAGTAGTGTTAAGTGAAGTCTAGAGTGAAATAAAAAAGGACGGATTCCAAAGTATTTAATGTATCCTAAGGGTTCTCCAAAGAATAGTCACATCTAGCCAAACTAATGCAAAATCAATTACTTATTTAAACGACTAATGTAACTATAGTTTTACGAAATAGAACAGTTTAAATTCATTATTTCTGGAACTTAATGAACTTTATGAAGTTTTCACACGATACATTTTATGTCATAAAACTAACCAGTTGTCAAAATAATAGTAGACTGAGCTAAAAAGACAATACTTCAATGAGCAGAAAACAACTAAGTAGACTGTAAATATACATTATTAAGTGAAATAGTTTTGTGGAGGGTTGTTTAACCAGTTAGTTACATACAATATGGCACCTGAAATGCATATATAACATTCTGGATGGCTAAAACTTACATCAGAACATGTGTATTTGGAGGGTAAATTTCATGACAATCTGAGGATAGCTAAAGAAATAGTGGAAAACGATAAATTACTGCTCTAATTTGGTACTCCCTAGGAATGCACATCCAAAATTCCACAAGGGACCAAATGTTGAACCTTAACGTCACATAACAAACCCAACATCATTAAGTAACATAATCGGAATCTAGTGATATACGTTTTCCGCCTCAATCAATTTGTGATATAGAGCGATAATCATTGAATATCATTAATACATTGCTACCTGATTCTTAACATTTTTAATTCTATAAGTCACACCCAACCAAGCTGATCTTGAGTGCTATTAGAGGTATAGAGATTGTTGCCACTTGTAGGTTTCTGATACCGTGGAAAAATACTTCTCCTTAAGGTATGTTTCTGACATATAAGTGAGACCTTAGATCACACGCGGCTTTTTTGTGAATGATTTTCGATATGTTAATGCTGTACTTTTAAGACCTTACTACCGGCGACAGGGATCTGTGGGGCAAGAAGAGGTGTACTGTTTTGATGGCAGCATCATCTAACTCATCCTCATATTGTGAAAAGGCAGAATTTCTACGGCCGTTGGTTGTCTGAAGAAAACACTACTGTAGTTGCACGTTTGTACAGTAACCAGTGGAAACTCTTACTAGAATATAGAGGTCGCTTCTTATAGTCTGGAACCTCTGTCATGGTGGAACATAAAGGAACAAGTGTTCCTTTATCACAATAACCACGTTCGACTTCCATATCAAAAGTACCACGTACAGTCAATAAGCTTCTTATCAACTCTTTTTGAAATCTATCTCGAATCTGGTCAGTAATGATTACAAAACGACTTATTACTATAAAGTGGTTCTATGTATTTCGAAGGTACAATTTACTGAATTGGTTGATGTTTTTTACAAGCTGAATTCACACTTTGGTCAGTCAAGATAATACAATTATGTAGAACAAAGTTCATTAATATGTAATACACAAAAACTAGGATGATAAGTACTGTAAGTGAATACCCTTATCATTCAACTTTTTAATTGAGTATAAAATTACTGATAAAAATATCTGTTTTTAAATGTGAACATTTCAATTTAAATGAAGTGTATAAAGTGAAAAGCGCAGACTCTCATAAATATTCCTTTTTAGATAAAATAATCCATTGCACGTTTAACCCATCTATTAACAAATAAAGGTTTTAAAAAATTATAAGGATACACTTACTAGTACACTATTAACAGGAAAACACGTGAAATATATACACCGAGTATATTTACACACCAACCATATGATTATATATTGACTGATAATTTAATCATTACTGAAAAACATGTTGTTTCCTGTGTTGCTTAAACGTTTTTTTTTCATCTTACTCAATATTCACCTGTTTACTTGTATATACGTCTTGGTCTATTAAATTGTAGTGAAATCTTATAATTATTGTTATAGCATGAAATAAGTCTCGTTGCGGAGAACTACCTGTGTTTTTCAGGAAAAGAAAGTAGACAAAAGAGTTTAAAACCGGTAAAAAGCATCTATCCGGAGTTTTTCTTACCTTTCTATACTATACGTCAGTTCATGACGAAAACTACTTTGTACAGTGAAATTTTATTCAAACTGAGTCATCTAAATGAGCTAGTCAAAGCCCGAGTGGCGATTTATTCAGCCCCCTTGCTATAATTTACACTTTATCCTACTTCGTTCTACTGTTTATGAAATGTAATACTTATTATTTGAGCAAGAAATATAACCAATCTTGAGTGCTAGTATTTAGGCATGTGTTATGTAGTATGAGGTTACTACGTAGTCTAGGCACTCAGCTGTAACCTAATGTCAATACGCCTGTCGAAACGTTGTTTCTGCACACCTGCTAGATGACCAAATACAATGGGATGTCAAGATTTAGAAAATAAGCTGATTAGTCTGTAATTAACCATTTATTGTTTAATAAATAAATCACAGGGACTAATAAGAATAGAATTCAACTGATATCATTTATAAGTAAGAGAATATTTATCGCTATGATAAACACATTCATAATGGTTAATAATGGCTGTATTTAAATCAAAAACTATGTCTAACCGTTCAAAACATACACTGTCAGTACCTTTATATACTTTATAAACATTTTAAAACGATTGCGTTTTCTTTTCGAAAATAGGTAATTCGACAAATAGTTTACATGAAATCATAAAGCTATTAACATACTATCTGAAATAATTATACATAATAAATAATATTATAGCCAATTGAAATAACAATGGTAGTAGTACAGTGTATTGCATGGCTGGTATTAATCATGATAACAGTAGAGTAGATAAATTAATCGGACAAAATTAATAATGAAAGTCAAGAGATAATCCACATTAATAATTCTGTAGGTAATGTAACAGAAATGAAAAAAAGAACAATTATTGGATGATATTAAAAAAATCATGTCTCGCTAATTCAGCAGCATATTTTCCAGTTCAGTACGATTTGAAGACACTTTCTGTCAGAAGCTAATAGCAGCTAGAAACATTGGTTTTAGGGTTATCTCTAATCTTTGAGTTTCACTTTGTTTTTTGTTCGCTTTTTTATTGATATTCCTTTTTGATAAAACATGCAGTTAAACTCGGCAATAAACTTCCGACTCACTTCACCTGAAGTTGGTGAATTATATAATCAGGTAGCCAATAAATGTGCACTAATGGGAGCCTGAATTAGTAAGATGCGCAGTATTCGGCTTCATAATCAAAGTATATTAAATTATATTTTCACATCTCAATTGAGATGAAAAAAACCAGCTTTCACTGGAAATTATTTTAGGAAGAATCTATAATCTATTTAAAAAATCAAACATTTTTTCGCATAGATCTCTGTTAACTAACTGGCATTCAATGCAGTTATCATTAATCATGAAGACGAGAATAAAAAAACTAAACCAGGTCATCAAACAGCATATTTTTCCAAAATAAACTACATGAAAAATATCGTTTAACGTAAACATTTCACTTTCCTGGAATATCAAAGTTATCTACAAATTTAAATCTTATTGACTGTCTTTTTGAAGTTGTTATCCTTACCTGATAATATTAAATGTTAATTACTCTTATAAGTATCATAAATGTGTACAGATGGACCCATTTATCTACAGTACTTATATACATATCAGAAGTCATACTGATTAACAAATTCATCGACTGATTAATCAACAACCACAAAAGCATTATGCCATGGTTTTGAAACAACTGTACGATCAAGCACTATGCTCGGTCGTTATTTATCATATTCTTAAGCTGAAACATCAAATCACTAATGCAGATCAGAAGTAAACTAACCTTTGAACAAAACTAACAAATAGTTTCAATTCGTCTGTAGGTTGACTGTTAGCAATAAAATGAGTCAGTTGTGTTGCTGAAGACAATCCTTCTTGATTAATCGTTGTACAATGAGGATTATTTTTGTCATCCTTGCGAAGGCACCATGGAGTAACAGTTTGAGAAAATGAAAACAAATCATGTTGATTTCCTTTCAAATCAATTTCTGAACTGGTGCTAACCTACATAAATAGACAGTGAAGGATAAATAAATTAGGAAGGAAAACCCTCTTAAATCACAACAGAAATAGCAAGTAACTTACATAACGTTGAAAGTTGACCTTGAAACACAAAATAACCAGAGCTCCTGGTATGATGGACTCCTATCAATTTATCTTTCATGCTTATTGCAAAAATTGTCTAGATATGCTGGTTGGTTTATGCCCATCTAATCTGCGCTGGTGGACAAGTGCAGAAAACCCTTATGTGATTTTTTATAGACCAGGTTGAGGTATTTTAAGTGACTTTTAAACTAGTCATCTGCAAAAACAGAATACAATAATATCGAACCATCTATCTTGAAGATTATGTTGTGACTGGGATTCCACTTGATAAAGTTTCTGTTTGCAAATATTAATGTGATTCTAAAGACTACGGCCACAATTCATTGTATGTTGATACCAGAAGTATTTATTTATTTATTCAAACACAAACATCGGTACAAGGAGGCACCAAATAGATATGCGCCACACGTTGTCATTTGATTTGTGTGAAGGCTGGCATAGTCCCCGATGCCCAAACCGATGAAGGTGGTTTGCTTAGGGGGGTCACTCCCCGAGCCTTTGACCTAGAGGCCTAATCCATAAGGCAGTGGAGCAACTTCAGAATATGCGATCCTATGGTAGCCGGTGATCAACAATATGTTCATACGCCATTTGTTCTCTCAGGATCCTATAGCCCATGTACACCACTGGTTTGGAATCAGGGTTTTTCAACTCCCCTACTTGGATCCTCCATATCCAACAACCCACGTTAAAGCTACAGCCATTCGCTTTTCGTCCTCGCGATTTCGTAAACAACAACCCCGCTGTGAGAAGGCAGTGGCTGTATACGCGTAGCCATGTGAGAGCACTTCGAGAGGGAGGGTAAACTCGTGCTACCCTCGGTCGTACCAAGGCATTTGGAGGCAACCAGAAGTTACAATTAACTATAAATGCCATATTAACATCAACATGTTTATATAAATTCACCTAACACTGTGCAATACGGATAACACTAGTTGAACTCATGTAGCACAACCGACCCAGATAACATTTAGTGTTTAATACGACTCATTGAGAAATAACGGCTTTAGGTACTTAGCTTTCGGCTACAATGTTTTGATAGAACTTAGTGATACTTTCTAGATGGCCAAACCGAAGTAAGTAGGTGTGAGCCTAGTAATCCAGTTGATAGAGTGCTATTAAATAATTTCTCCGACTTTCCTGGGAACCTTAGCAGTACCCAGATACTAATAATCTTTCGCAATGTTTTTCATCCACCAACCGCCACAAAGATGAAATAATAGTTTAACTTCGAAAACAATTGTTAGCTAGATATTCATATGCACAAAAACTTCTAAAAAGTTGGTGAACATTAGGAGATAATAAAAATACTGAATAATATCCTCAAACTCCAAAACTTTATATCTTATAGATCGGACATAAACATTTTACGGTTCGAAAACTTGCTATTTGCGCATATATCAATTAGATTTTGACTAAATGATAGTGTGTATTCAAGGGCTTCAGAATTATCTATATTTTACTTTTATAAGATACACTAAAAAACACAAACATTGATGACAAACAGTTCAAATTCATACGTTACGCGAAAATGGATTGATCGAAGAGTAGAAAAGCACAGAGGTGCTTTACCTGAGTGAATAGTGAATAAAATATACCTCTCCTTTCTCTTGTTTTATCCTCTTTTATTTTTCGAAGCTTCGTTGTGACTAAATGCAATACGCCAACTACCAGTTGCAAAGTGAATGAGGACCGTTAATGTATGCATAGTACCAGATTTATGTGAAACAGATAAAACGACGTACAACTGATTTAAAAATAGGATTGACCTAAAAAAATACGATGTAACAAGAACTAGTGCATACAACTATTAACAGGTTGTGGCCCATCTAGAACTGGTTTTACAAAGAAATCTAAGTGAGGTTCCAAGAGTTATCTTCCAAATCACCCTAAATAACTGCTAAGTAGTCGGTTATCAAAAATCAAAGAGGTTTTGAAACATATCCCTTGACTTTGATCGCCCTTTACTGAAACACTAAATGTTCACGAGCTTTAAAAATCGAAAATCATATCATGACGACAACTTGTGGCATGCTGAGGATAGATGATTTTATATCACCGTGTTAATGTGGTATTACTACTTGATATGATTCTTGTGCACCGAGTATGTTTGTTTGACTGAGGACAAATATGGTATGAATTCGTAAAGGAAAATAGTGTTTAGAAAACAACAGAATCAAAAGACAAAGAACTTGAAAGCTCTGAACTACGACGCAACACTTTTCTTATTTAAAAAATGAACTACAGTAGTAAAACCAATTGATTGTTTCAATAATTAAGCACCTGTTGGATGACATTTCAATACACACTACATGGTCATCAAAACTTGAAAGTCACAATATAGTCTATATTTGTGAAATATTTAGTAGAGGTAAATTAAGAAGCGTCAAAAAACCTTATATACGAATTCATCATACAGAAATATCGAGTCTTCAAATAAGTGTCGACGGTAGTGCTTCGTTGAACGACCTCTTACACAAAAACCTTATACTTGTGATTTACTCTTCTTGAAAACATATAAAAGTCATTAGGGTGAACACCTTTGTTCCCATGAAGTTCACAGTGACTCTATCTACTGAAGAGTTTATTAAATCATTATTTGACCTGTGTTGGTCAGGTCTTGAACAGTATATCAAAACAGTGCAAGTGACCACATACAATCAAAATTTTGAATATAATTATGATCAATGTGAAAGCTCCCTATCTCAAAATAAAGCCAGCAAATACTCACTTGTGGCTTCGCTGAACAGGTATCGTATTGCACATCCATAACCGATGGAAAAATAAGATTTTTATTTGATAAATGAAATTTTCATCTTTAAGAACATTATCAGCATCCTTTACTTTGTGAGGCAGAAGTAATTCATCTGGTTTCACGAGATGAGATCCAATGGGACCTGATGAATATTCCAACATCAAATCGAAAGGCGAATTTTCAGTTTTGCATTCATTTGAGGTATCCGAAGGCTCGGCATAAGGATTGAGAAAAACATGGCAATTTTTTTTGCTTTTATCTGAAGTAACAGACGTCGGAATTAAGGGGTCGAACATTAACTGTATCTCCGAAAACTTATGAGTAGGACTGTTAAAATCGCAATCAAAATCAATCAAATCCTTCGACTCTTTAGATTTGTTTATTGGGCTAGACATTATGATCACTAAAACTTATATTATTTACAATATACATATTACACACAAGATAACATGTTAAGTCGGAGATTTGAATAGTTGGCTGATTACATGTATCTGTCACGACACAATAAAAGTACGTCAGTACAGCTTGCTATGTCCGATGACAAAAAACATGGGTAACCATTTGTTCATCAAAGAAGTGGCTATATGAGCCGTAATAACAATCCCTTAATAATGATTAATCTCACATAAACTGGATATGCTAAGTAACGCAATCCCGAAATGCAATGTTCAATGTCTTCGTGATAAGCTAGTGTAAACTATGTAATTTCCTTGCACTAACTTCTTTGTGTTGAGATATAGCCCCAGGCTTCTGATAATGTACAATAAGGATATTCCAGTCATGCTAGTGAATTTGACAGCACTTAGTGGGTTTATATTCCCAAAGGGTAGATGACATTATAAATTAGACAGTCACAAATTTTTCGTACACGCGTTACGCGTGATCAAGTAAAAATTGTAAATATAACTAATTGGCCGTTATGCGAGGAAAACGAGGTAAAAAGGGAATATTCCGAGGAAATATTCTATCTACATTAGTCGTCCAACGGTTATTCCAGCACTGCCGTTTTGTTCTGGTTATCAGACTCCAGTGAAGCTTTGTAGTGTTTATTAACCACCGGAGATTATGGTTTGATTACGAAACTCTTGTCGTAGCCTTTCGGCCTCTGGGTAATAACATTAATTTCAGTTCCGTTATTATTGGCAGTGTAGTGTTCAGGGTCAACTTAAGCTGTCGTCGTGACGCAGCACTATCTACAAAACGCGAATACTAAGTAGTAGGATGGTCTGAACTAAGACCTGTTGATGATGCTCGGGTAAGTGCACGTTTTTGGTGTTTGAACGAACTATAATACCTTTGTACTTGTTGAATGCTTGATTTCGAATTCCAAATACAACACATTCGTTTGTGCTTGTTTCTCACTTCTTAATTCAATTGTGTTATTTCTGGGACTCTCAGTTCGTGGTACAATTCAAATAATTCAAAATATTATATTGGCGTCGCGATGGAGCCTGCAATGGAAAAGTTAGATATTCGTTCAACTTCTGAAGCATTTGAAGATTACTTTGAAAGGTTCGAAATCTGGGCTATGACCAAGGAAGATGATGAGGATGTTTATATTGTGTCACACTTCCTCACATTCACTGGAAAAGAAACATACAGCTTATTAAGAACTCTGGCTATGCCGGAAAAGCCCATTTCGCTTCCTTATACAACTCTCAAGGATCTACTGTTAGACTATGTTAAGTATACAAATTTCGAGTGCGGTAAAGGATGAAGATCTCGTAAAATGATTCATGAGGATATAAAAAACACCACTACATTACTACGTCATTCCAACAAAAGTGCATACTCAAGGTTATGCAGATTGTAGCGTGGCGTCGAGTTGAGATTAACTATGAACACCGCTACCAAGAAACACGTGCCAAATAGATCAGAAGGCGTAAGAAGCTCGTTCCAAATGACTCCATAAAATCCCGGAGAAGCCAAATATCAGAAGGCAATTAATGGACCAAGTCGAGGTTTATTAGCTGGCGATCTCGTGGCATCGAAAGGATACCGAGATCGTGCCAGAATACAACCTTGGTTACAGAAGGTAACCGAATTCGCGCGAAGTTACAATCGAAGTGTAAGTATAAGAATGGAAGCACAAAATAGCTGTCATTAGCACAGTCAAACAAAAGCACATTAAAACAAACACTGGTACAGTTGGTTATAATAATAATTGTTTTTATTAAACCAGTTGTGTTCTCGTGATAAATGTGAGTCACTACAGGAGCCCCCCGCTAGAAAGGGTTTACACTTTCGATAAATAGCGGTTTGAATCGTGGGACTGATCGGCTGACGAGCGATTGTAGGACGGAAGAATTGGCGAACAGGAAAGCGATCGTTGATCGTCGAGTTGCCAACGAAGGTCGTTTTCGGAGAACGGTACCAGGAGCGATGTGTTGTATTTATTGCTTGAGTTGGCATGCTACACCAGAGTGGTTTGTATCCAGAATCTGAAGATGGCGTTCGTAGGGTGTGGACCAGAAACGCTGCAGACGTAGGACGAAACCACGTTGAGCCAAAGACCAGAAGCGACCATAACGACCAAGTTCGAGACCAAGCGTATGCCAAGCATTCGAAACCAAATATCGACTGAGTGCGTTGACAAGAGCATGGGTGGCCAGTCCAGCTTTCGCCAAAGTTGACTGAAGTCGACGGAACCAAACGGAGATGGTCGAAGGCGTGGGCTCAGGAAACAAAAAGAAAATCAAAAAAGAGAAGAGTGTAGCATGCGTGTAGTATAGGAATAATCCTACACCGTATCGTTTTTAACTGTGCGGCTAGTCGCGGAAGCGTACGGGTAACCGTACTCGGCGACCGGAACGTGAGACGGTAGTCTCGTTCGCGTCGCGTGAGCCTGCAATCTCATCCGAAGTCAAGGGCGGCGTGGTCTGCTGATCTGGACGTGAGACTGTCGTCTCATCCGTAGACGGTGCAGATGACGCGTGCTGTTGACTGGGACGTGAGAATGAGGTCTCAGATGTATCTAGCGTGGGACCTGAAGATGGTTTGAGGATCCCGCTAGTAGGTTTGCTAGGTCTAGCATTGAATCTCAGGTTATCAGATAGGGCACTGTCATCGACGTGTGCTGGTTTGAGACGATCAATGCTGACGATCTCGACGCGGCCATATCGATCAACCTTGAAGGTCTTTTCGTGACGAGCGATCACGTGAAAAGGGCCTTCGTAAGGTTGTTGCCAAGGTTTGCGTACCGAATCTACTCGTACAAAAACATGTGAACAGGTAGATAACTCTCGAGGGAGAGCGACCTGTCGATGTTGTATTCGAGTTGACACCGGAGACAGCGTTCGCATAAATGCAGACAGTCGATGGACGTAGTCTGATTTACCGAAATTAGGTCTGCTCCGTGGTGTGAATTCTCCGGGCAGACGCAATGTCGTGCCGTATACCAGTTCAGCGGCGGAACATTGTATATCTGCCTTCAAGCTCGTTCGAATCCCTAAAAGAACGAGCGGTAAGGTTTCGTGCCAGTTGCCGTTTTCGTGTGCTCGTAGAGCACTTTTAAGTTGGCAGTGAAACCGTTTACTTAACCATTTGGTGCTGGGTGGTAGACGTTTATGCTTATGCGTATGCATTCCGTACCAAGCAGCCGGGTCAGCGAGGAGAATAGTTAATAGGGGAAAATTTCTCGAATAAAGCGTGGAATTCATCGTCACGCGAATAAAAAGTAACAAGGATTCGGTACACATACATGTGAGTCTATTATATTAATACTATTCTTATCGTTATCCGTCATGTCGCGTATATTATATATTAAAAAATATGAAAATATACGACAGACGTGGATAGATAAATCATAGACTCACCGAATTGGCTTCTTTGGAAGATTTGATCAGAAGTTGAGGCGTGTTCCAAACTTTGGGATCACCAATTGTATTCGAATTGGGATTACAATTGTAGCGTGGCGTCGAGTTGAGATTAACTATGAACACCGCTACCAAGAAACACGTGCCAAATAGATCAGAAGGCGTAAGAAGCTCGTTCCAAATGACTCCATAAAATCCCGAGAAGCCAAATATCAGAAGGCAATTAATGGACCAAGTCGAGGTTTATTAGCTGGCGATCTCGTGGCATCGAAAGGATACCGAGATCGTGCCAGGATACAACCTTGGTTACAGAAGGTAACCGAATTCGCGCGAAGTTACAATCGAAGTGTAAGTATAAGAATGGAAGCACAAAATAGCTGTCATTAGCACAGTCAAACAAAAGCACATTAAAACAAGCACTGGTACAGTTGGTTATAAGAATAATTGTTTCTATTAAACCAGTTGTGTTCTCGTGATAAATGTGAGTCACTACAATATAATTCATTGAGTTTGGATGCAGTTCACGAGGATGGGGACAAGTTTGGTCAGTGTTTGTCCTGTTGCAAGTTCCACTCTCCTAATTCATGTAAATTTCGTAATTCTAAGTGCTTCAAATGTCGTGATATCGGACAAGTTCAGTCAGCTTGTAATGCTAATGTTCATCTTACTGCAACTAATATTAAGTCTTGTAATTCTAATTCTACTGAGTCGAGTATTCATGATGATCATTTATCTTTATCAACGATTTCAAAAGACAGTGCAGGGTCATATGGCAGTTCAGGGTTAAATGAAATCCAGAATTCTTGTGAGACAACAGTTCCTAATCAACTGACTTCTCAGACTTCTCATGCTATCGTACAACGTATGACTTTTCCTAGTGATTCACATATTTCTAATGAAATTACTTGCAATTCTGAGGAAAATATGTTAAATGAACCTAATCATGATCGGAAACCTGATGTGGTTTGGATAGATGCTGATTTTTCTAACGATCCTACGCTCTGCAATGACAGTTCTAATGAATTTCATGAGAATATTTCAGAAGAATCAAATCCTGATGTCACATCATATATTACCTATCCTCATAATGCGTTTGATCCTTGTGAAAAACCTGCTCAATGTGAAGCACGAGTACTAAGTGGCCTCGAGTTTGATTACATTTCGGATGATTTCATATCAACTGCTGTTTACCCTTATCGC